TGACTGATCTATGATCTGCGTATCGCCCCATCCGGTTAGTGATTACTCTGAGATTAGATAGTGCTTAACAAGGCAGCCTGTCGTTTTTCGCATATAGCGTCAGGGCTCTGTCCCTTAAATATTTTTTAAACGGATCTATTCTAAAGTCTCTTAGTATGTCATTCGTGCAGATGTACCATGGCACTTTGAAGAGTCTTCGGAGAGCCTGACTTTGAGCAACTTGCAGTTTCTGGATAGTAGAGTTGGCAGCTTTGCTATACGCGACATAATATTAATTTCAAAATTTTTGTTGATCTCCTTTAAATTGGATGGGTCTATTAAATAAGCATGCACAATGAATTATTAAAAACAAATTTTTAAAAACTGGTACCTTATAAGTAAAAATGCATTGGATCTAAGAGGCCGAGAGCTGGACACTAAATGTCTAGAATGTCAAGCCAAATTTGTAAAATCATGATCAAATTGATAAAATTATTGGTCACTGTGTTGTTCCTTTTTTTTTATTTTTTAATACTATCATAAGAAAACTTTACCATGCCAATGATTCTATAAGATTAAGTCACTTAAGTCTTTATGAATTCTATAAGAAAACTTTTCATCCTAATCTTTCCAAATTCTTAATTTGCCACTGTTCTAAATAATGTTTTAACAGAGACTAAAATAAGTTGAATATACAATATGTTGTTATTGTAGCTCTTTCGAAACTACTAAACCTAGAACATGAGGAGATTACAAAACATGCATACGGGATAAAATGGGATGCAAGCCCAAATTAGTGAAATATACATATTAGGGTAATATAGTGTATATAGGGCAAGCACAGATAGAAACACTGTTGATAAGGCGTTTGCAAATAACCCCGATCAGGACAAAAAATATCTTATTACTTTAAATTCAAATATATCTTTATATTTGCTATCCTCTCTATATCATTGATTTTATTTTTTATAATTCTTTTCTATTTAATCTACTTGTTATTTCATTAAACTGAAAGGAGTTCTGGAAACTAATCTGTTCTACAGTTTAACTGTTTGGGATAAAACAATAATAATAAAAAGTTTAACTAAAAGTTTTTAAACTGAAACCAATGGATATTGTATTAATATTATAAATTTTTTTATAGGAGTGGTAAAATTTCATCGATTACATCAATATCACTTCTAATAATTAATAAAAATGTTAAATAGAGTACCACAACATTCATTTCGGGGTCTCACACAACAAATTACAAATTAAGAAGCCTTGAATTCTGAATCCTCAAATTTCATAGAATTTTCATTGACATTTTTGTTAAACTCAATGAATTCGCAGGATTTCGAAAGGGTCTATCATCAGACATTTAGAGCTTTAAAACAATTTATATGTTGAATTTCTTAAACTGTTTTTTCAAAAACAAAAAACAAACCATTTTGCTTGCAGATTTAATTATTTAATTTATTAAATAAGGGAATACTTCAGAAAATAACAACTTGAGATGTACTTAAGTTGTTTCTTAAGCACATGAATTGAATAGATTTCCTCAACTCTAAGTGCTTTGTTATTTGCAAAAATTGTTATTAAATATTATTATATAATATATTCATATTTTAATAAACTATTTAATGAATACTCACCAATTTTAGTTTTCTCTTTCCTGATAGTAAATCAGGAAGACAAATAGTAAATCAACTAACTGCATTTCATTATAGAATTCATTATATACAATCTTTATACTTATGTAGCTTTAAGACATATTATATATATCAGTATATATATGTATTGGTCGTAATTGATACATAATTATGTTTCGAAGTTAGCTGAACTTATTTTGATTTTATACATTGTATCCTCTTTTAGGAATTGACTGTTTTCCAATATAAGACGTAAAACATATATCATAATCAGATAGTTTGTTTATTATTACGCTTCATGTTGTATATTGTAGCTATAATTATATATTAATTATCAGTATTACTTTTCGAGTGCGATTTGAAAGCATTTTATTTACATAAAAGTTTGAACTTTAAACATTCGTGTCCCAGTAACCCAGTAGCCTTCTAAAATATAAGAAGAAGAAAATTAGTCATTTAAAAATATCAAACTATAATTATTAACATTTCAGAAACCTTTAAAAATTCATGTACACATATTGTTTTTATGATGTAAAGAATAACATAAAGAGATTTCTACACTAGATAAGATAGCCAGATGAGATCCTTAAGTATACCCTCCTTAGCGACGGTAGCGTCGCTACGTTACCTACTAACCTACATTATTAAGCCAGTGGTAGACAAATGTCTTTTTATTCTATTTCCTGACAATTCTTTAAATCCGCATGTGTGACCACAGAATGATTGGGAACGAATTAAATAAGTCATGTCTGATTCTGTTCTGGCTATACAATCAGCTTTTTTATTAGACAACATTTTATGTTAACTTAAACTTTATTTTATTTTGTTACATCAACAGAAATTGAAAGATGTGTTGCAATATAGAAATCAAAGAGTTTTTCTTAACCAATAATTTAATTTCATCAATGTTGTATGTTCAAAATAGTTCAAAGATATTCGGGCTTCTCTGACTGTTGATTTCTTTATGTGAAATTTTATATTTATCATACTTATAGCAATAGCGTAAACTTTAGCACCATATAATGTGTAATCATTGTGGAATGACTCTAACCTTATAATACATACCACCGAAACTTCGTATAAATTGAGCTTTAAAATTCTAATTCAAATGTATGAATAAAACATATATATATATTAATTGTCACTTTTCAAATTTAATCTATATAATAATTTATTCCTCGCAGGCATAAATTATTCGTATTGTATTAATAGAACTGAATATTATCCATTATTTTAATTTTGAAGATTTATTGTAGTTAAGTTGTTGTATAAGTTATTCTTTGCCGTTTTACTTTATTAAGCAGAAAATGTAATAATTGTAAATAACGTATAATATCTTCACCAGAACAATAATTTACAATGTATTTTAACTTCCATTTTAAGTATTAACAAATTTCAGCAATCTCGTTTATTTAAAATAAGCAATACAAATTTAAAATCTATCAATTTTAATTGCTGTTTGTTGTGTATTTAATTTATACAACTCTCTAAATATAATTGAAGATATATAAGCAGTAGGTAATTACTTAAGATAATTATACATCATAGTCATTAAAAAACGTTTCCATCACGTACTCCTCAGCAGCTCTGTATACCACTTTCATTGTGGTGAATACATTTTGTTGAATCACGTTATTGTATTGAAACTTCAATTAAATATTCATTATAACTAAAAGAAACAATAATTAAATAACTAATTTAAATAAACTATATAAATATGTACAAACCCAGTGCTCATTAGCCAATGGTCAACTATATTTCTGAGAACGAATTTTGGCAAGTGATCCAATTACTACAAGACTTTTCCAATGTTCGTGATTTTTATTTCACGTTCTGGCCATTCTTTATTCTTATATGATTATATATATTTTTTTACAAATATAAATTGTTTATCATCTACAGGACGTTTCTTCTTGTCGTTCTATTCAAATAATGTAATATTATACACTCTATAGCAATTAGAGTACTCATATTGAATATATTGAACATTATAATAACAATATAACGAAATTTATATTTGTCGTTAATTTCTAACAATTCCTCCAATATGTTTACAATTAAACGTATTGTTTTGACAGCCGTCGTCTTCTTTTCTACAACAAAAACTGACATTTATATTTAAAGTGTTCGGAAAATGTTCATAAACGTCAGAAATTATTTGACATATAGCATCCTCAAGAAAAGTAACAGCCGTCTGTCCCTCAAAGAAGCTGGTCAATGAAGAATTGTTAATTATCATATGGTATATATTATTATTGCCTTCATTTCATTTCACAAATGAAATTTAATTTTTTAGACAAAGAGTTTTAGTGTTTTTTAACTTAGTTAAAAATAAATCAAGGGAAATTACTAGAGGCAAGAACTTTTTAAAACGTTTGCTGTTTATAAATTAAACATATAATTAATACATAAATATATATAAATGAGTTCATATTACAAATATATATTTAATATAATTATACAATATAATAAATAATTGAACAAAAAATATTTATTTCAATTGAATATTAACTGAAATGTAAACAAACAAAAGCTCTTTAACAACTTTTACAGAATATTCAAGTTCATACCAGCTCTTTCTCTTGCATAAATCAACTTAAGTCAAGGAAAACCACCAAATTTTAATTTGATTAATATAAATTGAATTAATTGCAATGGAAACATTCTAATAACTTATATGATACCATAAAATTAATCATAAAAATCAGAGACTAAATCCTATTATTAAAGCAATTATGACTGTGTACGAGTTCGAGTGAATTGATGGTAAATTGAGGGAAATAGTAAATACCAACATAGGTATTTACCAGAATTTAGAGTAGGGTCAATTATATAAAAATTAAGTAATTTAGGTATTACCATTGTGAAAATTTTATAAGATGTTTAATAAATATATATGTAAATAAATTTGAAAACTTTTAACCAAAAATAATAAATAAGTGCAATAAATAAATAAATAAATATTTTACATAAGTGCAGTGCAAAAAATCCCTAGGAAATTTTAATTTACTTTACCTCAATGTACATAACATTGAATGTCTAAAATTTTTTCAAGCATTTCATAAATTCATGTATTTCTCATCTGCTTTAGTTAGACAATTAATATAGTAATGTCACAAAAAGAAGAATTGCAAATATTTTTACCATATTAGTTTGTAATAATTATTCTATTTCAAATTATAATTGCTTGCACAAATGATTTTTCTGTTCGCTGAAAAATTATATCCAAATGTGTAAAAATAATCTTACACACTTTGCGAACACGATTTAGGGTAAGCGCCAAGCCATTTTCATATTTTAACTGCAACCTCATAGAACGCGATAAGTTATTGTTTTCATGTTTGTGTTTATTTTGATTTTTTTTTAACTTTTTTATTAAGAAATTTTTTAATTAAATTTTATTTAATAAATTATAATATAATTTTTATTATAATGAAAAATATCGATAGTTGGAATGAAATATTTCCGGAGGTAAAATTGCGTGAAAGTGACCTAACAAATCCAACACAGAATTTTCTTATAAGGACATTGGTGGCTTATTTTCGGCCGTTTGGCATTAATGTGGACCTTCCGAATGGGATTCGGATTGACACTCCTGACAACGTTAAGGCAAAGCGTTTATATTTGGCAAAGCTGACGCGGTTAACCACACGAATTTTGAGAATCACAGATAACTCATACATATTTACATATTTCGATCTTATTAAACCGAGTAAGCTTCGCTGACTTCACTGACTATTTAACTAGAAATTATTGATGCATTGCATAAAAATGTTCTAGCACCCAAGAAGACAATGCGTGTATTGGACATTTTATTGAATTATTTATTTTATTTCAACATGTACAAAAACGAAGTTTTTGATTCGACCTGTGAACTCATTGAGGTGCGCGCAGTACTGGAGCGAACAAACCAAGAGACTAGAGCAAAAATGGAGGAGAAAAGAAATCATATCGAAATGGTATTTGAATTTATATTAATAAAAATGTGTTTATATTAAATAATGTATTGTATTGTTTAGATTAGAAAGAAGATTACATCTTTAAATAATGTGCAGATTCCAAATGCAAGAAAGCGCTTACATAAGCTGAAAACATTAAGAAATAAAAAGAAAGCCCTTTTAATACAACTCGAATTCACATTAAATGAACGACACACGATATTATCTGAATTGAAAGCAGAAGGACGTATGTTAAAAAAGCAAAGTGTTTCTGATGTTGAAGCAAATGAATTGAAAAAGTAAGGCAAAATATATAACGCATAAAATGCTAGCATCCCATACAACCCCTGCTCCCTTACTATGCACCCTATACTAATTGATGTATTCATATTGTTATCCGTTTATGGTTACTGCTGCAAAAGTCATCACGAATTGCAACCACCAGATGTAAAGTGAACATGACAAAGATAACATTTAAGTTATGTATTATTATTTTAAATTGGTTGGTTGAAGTGATGACTCAGTCCATGAGTTTAATTACTATTTTCGCACCAGTTTGTTACCACATCCTACTGGTTATATGTTTGTGGAAGCGGTTTTCTCTTTAGAACAATTCTTTGGTAGGTCCAAAATTTATTAATGGTGAAACTATAAATGCTATGCAACCGTTAAGAAGAACTGAGCTTATCATTTACCGGTATAGAAACATTTTATTTCGAATACTCAGTTTTCTGTACTATGAAGGTCTAAATATGTAAGGTTTTAAGTTGCCCGTTGTTTTCTTCTCTCTTATGTTATATGCTTAGTTATTTCACATTGCTCAACCATATATTTTTATATTTTAAATATATTAAGGCACATTGCAAGCTTAGAAGAACAACTAAAACATCGCATGGAACGAATATTCAACATGGAAAGCATTTTAAAACAACGGAAGGATACAATGAAAACAGTAACTGAATTAACTAAAACGATGGACAAGATTATTGAAAGGCTACCGCTTGATGTCAACTTTAGAATTTTTAAAGAAAGAAATAAAAAGATACAAGAAAAAATGACTTTGTGCAATGAATTGGAAAATAAAAGATACTCCATACAGAAAGGCATCAAGTTCGATGAAAAGGCTGCAAGGACTCTAAATGGCAGAATTAGTACTGCGAAGTTGAAATCAGAGGAAGAAATTAAGTATAGAAATAAATTAATTGAGGAAAAAGAAAAGTAAATTCTATTAATGAATATTTGGATTTAATAAGTTTTTTTTTAATTTGGTTTTCTTTCTAATTTCATTGTAGTTTAATACAGAGCAAGAAAAGAGCAAAGGACGAAATTAATGAAGTGATGAAATGCTTGGAGTGCGAAACATGTGAACAACAAGATGTAATGAGCTATATACAAGAGCATGCGGATATTTTATTCCAAAAGTATATAAGTTTTTCAAATGTATTAAAATGATCAAATTGTAGCAATAATTAAATGTTTTCTAGATAATTTTTTATAAAAACTTGGATTTTATTACAAAGAACCTAATTTCGTGAACGTTTAAATTTATAACAAAATGAAAACTTCTATAGAACACATCTTTCACCCAATTTTCAAAATTTTAAATTGAGGTTGACAATTTTTATAAGATCAATTTTTTTAATCGATGTTTTGAACACCCTTCTTGAATATGGAGCGAGTAGTTAATATTGATTGATTGCACAAGAAAATTTTCACTGTACAACGATGGAGAAAATAAAAAACCTTCAACTATACATTATAATAAGAACAATACACACAAGAAATGAATGCATCGCTCTTAAAGAACTTGGCTAAAAATGTTAATAACACAACATCTTTAGACTTTAATTGTTACAAGATTACGAGAGAATAACGATTATAAAAATGACAGAATTTCTTTCCTGGATCCACACAAGTGTGAATACGTTTTCAATAAGGTGTTGAACTATTACACTAAGAAGACTATGTTCTTTCCTAGAGATATCCAAAAGCAACTGGATCTACATTCAGGACTCATTCGTGAACTATAATAACCAAGCGGCAAACTGCAGAACTAACCCCCGTGACGTCGCCCATCTGTTCTCGTGTCCCAACAGACATATATAGACCTTAATCCAATCGACTATGAATCCGTCTTATAGAAATGGCAAGGTTTCTTCGTCTTGAACCTGTTTGACTTCCATTTAAATTCCACCTGCACTTCGTGACAATAGTTCACTTCATGGTATCTGCTTTACAGATTCCCGCGGGCTACAATAACAACATTAACAGGCGCTGCTCACTACTTCCACAGACTATACCAATAATACTAGCGGCGGTTTGTTCAGCATATTGTCACACAATTATCAATTACTTCTTATCACATATTAAAAAGTTTATTTCAATTGTATTTTCATATGTGTATGCTGCCTCACAAAGGTGGAATAATATTCCTGTGTGTTATATTCTTAATGTCGTATCCTGGTTATAAGCATAAATCATTATTGTAGTTTGATGCATTTAATGTATAAATTATTCAATACATTAATATTGCAGTATTTCATCAAAATCTAAATGTTTAATTCAAAGCTTTTAAATATATTATTGATTGTCATTCGTTTTTATCTTACATATATAAAATATAAAAGAATTGTTATATATATACCTGAGTTAAAAAAATATCTTGTCTATTATTATAATACAAATACATCTATAAAGAACTAATTTGATCGCATATATTTGTCTTTGTATATCTCCTAGCACAAAATTTATCTAAAAACTGAAGAAATGTGTTTTATTTACAGTTGCAATTGCTACACTATGAAGAGTATTATGAAATTTGAGTTTTAAGTAGCGACTGGTCTTACGCCTTGGATTCACGCATCTCTTCAGACGATCAAGTACTAGCGTTTACACTTTCTAACAGAAGCTCAATTAGCAGATATACGCTCTTTAGCATGATAGATAACATGAATATAAGCAACAATACTACGATCTTGTAATATCTAGGAATATATGAGTTAATCTCTCAGTAGCGTTCGTCTTTTCGGACGATATGTGGCTATTCTATCATTTGTTTTCAAATTTAGATTTACACGTTATAACAACAACGACAATGATCTTCTTCAATTGTAATGTTATTTAAAGAACGATAATCCAGGCTATCATAACGTGCCATAACGATCTCAAGTGGACTTTGGGTACAAGGCCGATGCTTCTAACTAACTTAAGGCGATTTATAATGCTTCTAAACTAATCTTTAGTTACTATTTCCGCATTAAATTTTTTGTGTTTGTGTGTGTTTTGTTTGATTGAGTGTAAAAGTAGATTATATCAGATTCTGTGATAGCAAGATTTCTGCACCTAAATTGATATATTAAAGAATATATGTATGTCAAATGAGCCTGCTCCGTTCGAGTACATTTTAATATAAAATTTAAAGTCGAGATGTCCTTCAAAAGTCAAGATTTAAATTTCATTCCACTTAACTAGTATGAGAAAAAGTTATGAATTATTATTTGTTCAATGAATTTATTTTGAGTTTGTTTTTCTAAGTTTCCATAGTTTCCATAACTATTTTAGAAATGTACCTACTTCACGCGCGGCACACGCAAGTTAAAATGCACAATGTCTTTATACTCAAATAAATTATTACACACACAAATACTTTTAGAAAAGCATTAATTTTTATGTATTAAAGTATATATATAAATATATGTTAAAATTATATTTTCTATTTTTTTTTTTTTAATCAAAAGCAGTTAACGTGAGTCTCCGACTTGCATTTCTAGAGATTGTTTTACTAAATGTGCTTTCAACTGTTGGCTGAAGTCGTCTTCAACGTTATCATCATCCCAATTGTCATCCCAGACATTTAATATATCATCTTCTTCAGTGTTTATATTAAAATCTAAACACAAACAATTACAAAGTTAGATTCCATTATTTTTAATGAACGCATCTCTGACTTACCTTCTGGTGGGAAATCTTCAAATTCATCGTCCTCCTCCAGCATGAAGTGGTCACTTTTGTGACTAACTTTATCTTCTTCTTTAACAGTAGTGCTCATTTTTGTTTAAATTAGTATTTTTCTTATACAAGAACTTCTATACTTTACCAAAATATGCTTAGCGTTTACTGAATTTATCAAATGCCGAGTCATACGTCAAACGCCAAATGTCAAAGCACATTAGTGTTGAAAAACGTTGAAAAAACAAAAATTATTTTGTGTCGATCTTGTTTTATTTACCATAAGTCTCCAAATACGCACTTCACCATCATAAATGCGCAATCGCATTTTATTATTCGATTTAACGCAATAATGAAAAATTATTTGATAATTAAAGAAAACATATCTATCTGCTCTATAATAAATAAACAAATAACTTAAATATGATAAATAATAAAACTAATAAGACATATATATATATATATACATATTGATAAGGCTTTTGATGTTATTGTGAATCATATTTTTGAATTAGTTCTTAAGTATTCATGCCAAATGAATTATAAACATTTTTGTCGTGTAGAGTCCTCTGATTTATGTAAATACTATATATTAGTCCTTTTATCCTATTATTCATATTCTAAGTAATTATACACAACTTAATACAATTGCAGATAACCACATAAAATAATATTAGCTGTAATTTTTTTCTTTCAGAGTTGTGAAAAAGCTGCATTAAGTCTGGATGAAACTAATTGGCAACACTTTTAAAATATGTTAAATGCTGATTTTTGACATATGTTTTTTGTTGTGTTGTGACAATATAAAATATAAAAATAAATTAATTTATATAAAAGAAAACAAAATTAATATTAGAAAGGCAATGGTAAGCATTTTTATCTTATATATTTAAATTAATTCATTTATTTCTGTATTTAAATTTCTTAGTAAATGAAATGCTCATATGATTTTAACAGATGACTGGAATTTCGCAACATATTTCCAGTGAATATTCCAGTGAACACAATAGACTGATTTTTGAATTTGGTTGCACTAAAACTTAAGACATAAAATTTTTAGCGAGTAAAGCCTAACTCTGAAGATTTTAAAGGAATTGTTGTTGCTTCTGAAAGAAAAAATTACGGGCATTGTATATGAATAATATAAATATCAGAACTATAGTCGAATGCGATAGTTCGTACCCCTATAATTCGAAAACCTCAATAACACGTAACAAACTGCTGGTCCCTTGAAAAAACGTTGTTGTTTCGTAAAATGTCCATACATTTTGGTTTCCTCGTTAATTCGTATTTTATTAGAAATTCAATGAAGAATAAACCTCTTATAATTCTTAATTCAGAACAAAAAACTTACCTGCAAATTCAAGATGCTTCAAGAACATTCGTAGCTTTCCAATACTTTACCGACACAATATGAAGGCGTGGATGACTATGGATTTCTTAACGAATGGTTTCTGATGCTGAATGATAGCTGTTATTTATGGACAATAATGGATCCACTAATCTCAGCCACGTAAAAATAAATTTTTTACCAATAAATACCACTTTCAAGTTGCAGTCCCTTGACCAGGGTGTTATAAAAAATTTTAAATTATATTATCACAAAGGAATGATTATTGATCTGGCTAATAGCATTAATGAAAAAAAGAGATCAAATGCGAGGAGAGACAATGCATATTGTTTATAAAGCGTGGAATAGTGTCAGTAGATCTTGCATTTAAAACTGCTTCCGGGCTTGTGGTTTTAATAAAGTTTTAAACGAAAATCTGTGTCAAGTCAAACAATTTAATATAGATTATCTATGGGACCGTATATGTGAGAACTTTGAAAATATTACCCTTTTCGATGACGTGGCTATATCTGGTATGTTAACAGATGACAATATTTTGGAATGAGAGCGATGAGGATGATTGCGTCGGTGAGGAACAACTTATAACGAATAAACAAGCCAAATCGGCCATTCAAAAACTACGACATTATGTTTCAAATCATGATGTCCAATAAAATGATTTTAATTGTTAATTATGTTTGGAAAAATCAATTAAAGAGAAAGGCGAAAAGAATCTAAAGCAAACAACAATTACAAGCTTTTTTAATGTTAAAACTAGATCTTTCTCTGTATATATTTTTTGGTTTTTAATTTTAATTTCTTATTCAATAAATAGTACGTAGGATGTATATTGGATTATTTTATTCTAATAAAGTTATATATATAAATTGTGTGAAAATCAACTGAAATGTAAAACCTCGTTTATTCGTATTTTCTTCTTTTTTAACCTCGTTTAATGGACACCTGGATAATTCGAAAACCACTCTAAATCGTAAAAAATGTTGTTCCCTTGAAAACGCAAATTTTATTGCATATTTGTAGGCGCGAACAATTATTTAGTTTGTTGGAATAAAAATATAATTAAAATGGGAAGAAGAGAAGAAAGATATTATTTAAAAGTATTTCAATATCAGATGATATTTGTTTGTAGATATAATGGAACAAATAAAGCATAGCTAATATACACATATAGTAGTAATAAAATAAAACAATAATAATTTTTTTATTTGAAGTTTTTATTGACGATGGATCATTTCTCTAACATTTAAAATTTCTATTTAAATTTATGTTTTTTTTTATATAGTGAATTAATGTATTTATTGTAGTTACATTTGTTGTTGTTGTACTTATTATGTATTTTTTTAAATAAGTTGAATATTTTGCTATAAATTAAGTGTTAAACAAATATTTTTGCTATTTTGCTTTTACAATTAATTAATTTTTAATTTTTTGTTTTTTTTTTTAATATTGAATTGAAGCAATAAAACTCTATTTTATTTCATTTTGCTCATATATTTTATTTACTTAGTAATTTTTTATTTTTGTTGCATTAAGATTATAACATTTAATAAAAATTGAAATATAATAAACTTTGTTTATTGCATATTAGTTACTGTTTTCTAATTTTTAATTAAAAGTATTTCAATGATTTTGATTCTACGTTTTTGTATTGGTGCTTATAGCTTTTAAAGCAAGTAAAAGTACAGTGAACGACATTTAAAATAACATATACAATATATATAGTTTGTGGTTCAGAAAGTGTATGTTGTTTATGATAATTATACAATCATTTCTCAGAAAAATATATGCAATCTCTAATAAGCTAACGAAGTTCTGTATACCAAAGAGCTTCATAACTCTTTATAACCTTAATGTCGAAAGAGTTTCTTTAAAGATTTATAGATTAATAAAAATCAATAGATTAAATAAAAAAAGAATATGTGAATTTAAAAATTCTAATTTAAAAGTAGTTTAATAGCAAAACCTAATATTAATGACGGTGCTATTTGATCGGTACGGTAGAGAATGTCAACATCTTTTGTGGAAGAACCAGGTGACCAACAATTTGGGGGCGCTCGACTCTACCAAGTGGCTACAGCAAGCGACTAATCAAGCTGACTGGCAAAGGCTAGATGACGCCGCCAAGGACATCTCATGTCTGTAATGGTCAACTAAGTAAGTAAAAAATTTGATCTTTATGTTATATATCTGCTGTTCAACGAACAACAATTTTATTGAAACTGTTTCACTTTCGATTAGAAATCGAAAACCTTAGAATGGGCTTAATGAATCATATGCCTCGAAAGTCCACAATCAGTAAGGCTATGTACTTTAATTTAAAATAAAAAGAGATGGAATTAGAACCATATATACACTGCCATAACACAGTGTATATATGAAAACATTTCTGTTTTATGGAAGTGAAACAAGAATGACCACCATTTTAATAATTTATTTAAAAATATAAACCTTATAAAGTCGTTACGTCGAATCAAATATTATCAATATCAAGATCATGGACATTGTAATATTGCAGCCGGTACCTGGTTGTCTTGACATTCTTCACTAAGTTTTTCCATTGAGAAATAAATACGCAATTGAAAAAATAAATACGCAAGTGCAAATGGCAGAAATATAGTATATATATTTATAGAACTGAACAATAATATTATTCGACAGACATTTAAAAGGAACCCTAAAGTTTTTAGTTGCCACTGTGTACTGGCCACTGGCTATGACTTGAGGAAGTAAAATGAAAACAAAGTTAAGAATTGTAAATTACTTAAGGAACGATGTAGTTGTTAACTTCCATAAAAAGTGAGATGTTCTATGATCTAACTGGAAGGTTAGAAATATAGACTATCCAAAACAAATTATTTTAGAAAAATATTTTTAATATTATTTATCTGAACAAATCATATTAATTATTAAAATAGATTGCGAAGATTTTTATTTATCGAGATAAAGCATATGCATAAAAAATAATGTAATCAAGCAACCAAAAATGTCTCCGAGATATATGTATATATACTATATATGTGTATATACAACATATCTACCATATACATAAGTAAAATATATATCACAATAAATGTCATTCACTTGTACATATAAGTACAGATTCAATTGTATATTAATTTTTAATTATAATTTAGTTTTTTTTTCCAATTTTTTCCATTTATTAGTAAATATATAATATATATTTGTGTTTTGATATAATTTTTTTGTACAAAAATATAAATTTTTGTAAGATTTTTGTATTTCCAAATATTACATTTTTTTATATATAATAAACAATTTTTAAATTTATTATCAAATTTCATTTCATTTCCAAAAACTTGCTCAAAATATGTAAATAATATTATATAAATAATCAACAAATTATATACTTTAAGTAATAAAATTAATTAATTTTTCTCTTCTTGTTTTGTATAATATATAATAATAAGCCTGTAATTATTTACTTTAAGTAAATTTTTATATATAAATATAATTTCAACATTCAACATTTGTTTCTTATTTTTTTATTTATTAACTTATATACGTCATTTTAATTAATAGTAAAATATTTTAAAAATTTAATATTTTTAATTAATTCTTTTTTTAAATATATATATACATTTATATATATATATATATATATATTAAGGAATAAATACCATTAAGTGACATACATATAATTTATTGCTGAAAAAAAACATTGATATCATTTTCTTTTTGATATTATTTTAAGTTTTTAATATATATATATATATTTATATATGAAATTTTACATATATATATTGAATTACATTTGTTTGGTTTTTTTCGTTTGCATTAATTAAATTTAAATATTAAAGTTTTTCCTTTTGTTTTTAAATTTTTATTATAATTTTAAATAGATTTTATTTTTTTATTTTTTTATTTTTTATTTATTTCCAGACAGGCTTTAACACACACGTACAATACGATTTCGTTTTCATTCTTATTTAATCACAGACTCTCTTTTCTTATATCAACTTTATTATCAATTTTAAACGTTATTTCGATTTTTTTTAAATCTACTAGTCTCTCAAACCCCTTCGGTACTAAGCCTACGATATAGATAATATGGTATAGTAGTCTACAGTAATATATTTTTAAAATATAATTTTAGCTCAGTGTTTACATTTTTAATATTGACATAAATATGTTATGCTGCAAAACTGTATCTTTTTTGAAAAAGGATTCTACTTACTATTTGGCATTATACAATTATTTTTACCACGGCTCTTAAAAAATATGGGCTTTTTGAAGACCCGCTTAAAAAAGTTACCCGATAAACAATCATTACAGCAAACAAATACCGTAAATTAGTTTATAAAATAATTAAACGTACCATATATACTTTTCTAAATCAAATTTTTAAAAATTATTAATTACTATTTTCTTAACTGGAATATATTAATTACATAAAACTTGATTTATTATATATTGCAATTTATTTTTAAGTTTAATATATATGAAGTAAATAATCAAATAGATGTCTACTTTCTCAGTTTAAATTCAATTGTCAAAAGAATGTATTTTAAGTACATTCACGCAATGGATATATAAAAAAAAATTGTTATTATTATTAAAATATAACGCAATGATAAAAATTCAAATAAGCCAAATAAACAACTAAAAAAATCTGAATAAAAAATTTAATATTAAAAATAAAAACTAAATAAAAAAATTAAAAATAAAAACTAAATAAAAAAATTAAAAAAAATAAACTATATAAAGAAAAAATTAATTAAAAACTAAGACTAAAACTAAATAAAAAAGTCCTAAATAAAAAAAAAGTAAATTAAAAAAAAACTAAATAAAAAAAAACTAAATAAAAAAATCTAAATAAGAAAAACTAAATAAAAAAAAACTAAATAAAAAAAACTAAATAAAAAAAAACTAAATTAAAAAAAATTTTAATTTAAAACAAACTAAATAAAAAAAATTATATTAAAAAAAATTTAAATTTAAAACAAACTAAATAAAAAAAAACTAAATTAAAAAAAATTTCAATTTAAAACAAACTAAATAAGAAAACTAATTGATAGGAATTGATATATAAAAAAAAATTGCACCAACATTATTTTGCATATTTTAATTTTTGTAAATAATATAATTAATATTATTATTTTTTTTTAATATAGATAAATTATTTTTTTTTATGTATCCCTATATGTTTTTAAAACACTTAAAAAAAGTTTTTTTAAATTATTTTTATATGTTTTAATGCATAAAGGAATTTGTTAAATTAAAAAACATATATTGCTCAATTTATCCTGTTTTTATAAATATAAATATGAAAATATTATTCACTAATAAATACTAAGAAAATAAAAAAAAATAATTATAAATTAATACATAATTGCGTGAATATAATTTATTTTAAAATGTTTTGATTTTTGTTATTTCTAATAATATTTTTATATTTCATTCATATATATATATTTTTATTTTAAATTATGTATATATTAGATATATATATATACATATCAGATATATATGCAGATATTCTATATGAAATTCTGTGAATGTAGTTATATATATACTCGTTTATACATATATATGTATTTAAAAGCCTTTAAGAAAGCATATCACATAAAAGAGAGTTGAAAAAAAGTAGTATTTTTATTGTTTAATTACAATTTTTTTATTTTCTTATATTATATATTGTGATTTTATATTATATTTAATATGATATTTGCTTTTTTATAAGTATATACTATTGTTCCTTTTATTCTGCATACTAAAAAGAAAAAAACTACTACTTTTAAAATTTGCTAATATATTCTTACATATTATAAATATATCTATTTTAAGAAACATATCCGTATACATAAATCTGAATATATAGATATATTTATATATATGTACATACAAATATATTTACTTTTTGTTTTTTTTTTTTTTTTGGTTTTGGGAAATAAATTAAATCATTTTTGAAACATATATATGCAAAAATATATATAAAAATGTATGGTCTAAAACGAAAGACTTTCATGCCAATTAAAAAGGATTTTTTTTTTCAAACAAATAGTAACTGTTAGTGGTGGTATTTACAATCTCTAGTAATTAGCTCGGGAACCGAGAAACAATAGTAGTACAAAATGATGAGTATATAATGCAATTTACTCAGAGAGATGCATTTTTCGCTCTTATTATTATTTTTTCCTTCTCTAACTATTGTCACACTAACTGGTAGTCTGACAATAGTTTTGTTTTTTTTTCGCTCGCTATAGTTTTTTTGATTTTTTGTGCCCTTTTGTGAATTTTCGAATTTTCGAAATTCTGTGTATTTTGTTTTTGTAAACTATTAAGACTATTATTAAGACTTAATAATATTATTAAGACTATATTTAAGACTATTATCTACTTAAGCGGTTACTCGGTTACTCGGCTATCGAGCTGTTTTTTACAAGATCTTGAAAACCACTAATGTCACTAACTATCGGGTGATTAACTAAATTTTTAATTTGAATTAGAAAAATACAAAATTATAAACAGAATGTTTAGATCTGCAAAGAAGTATGAAGAAGCAGTACATTTCTGTATACTTAGGCTATGACTAAAGATTCCAATATATTGTTTTATTATTACGTGAACGACAGTAGAACATCGCGACCTGTAAAATCAAAATTATTAATACAAATAGATTAAATTAAATAAAATATTCTAGGTAATAATAATGAACTTTAAGTAATAGAATGAGGTCTGACATCTACTGAAAACATAAATCTATATACTCTTATGTTATGTTTATTTAAATATATAGTTTCCTTTTTGGAATACTAGGGATTTGAATAATTGTTTGGAATCCAAAAAAAATTATTATAAAATTTTATATTTTAAATTATTCAAAAAAAAAAGAATATGTGAGTAAAGATTTCTACTGAAAAAAAAAATTAATTTGTTTATTAGTTATTGTCTTGGTTTATAATAAATTTTCTATTCATTTTGGAACATGTACTTTGGAACACATGTAATATTTTCTAAATCTAATATAGATTTCTGCCAAAAAAAATTTCTAATATTAAAAAAAAAAAATCAAAGTAAAATAAACAAAAAAACAAAACAAAACAATTTTAAATATTTTCACAACAATTTTTTATTAAAAAATAATTTTTTTTCAAAAAAAAAATATATATAAAAAATAATTTCGATCAAAAGGAACAATATTTTTTTTATTTAAAAACAAAAAACAACAAATATTTTCTTTTTGCATTTTAAAATTAATTACTTAACATTTTGTTAATAGTTAAAGTATTTTTTAAATAAAATGAGCACCAATTTAAAATGAAAGCACAAAAAAGTAGTTTTCTAGTATAAAAAAGTTAACAGCAAAAATAAAAGTACAATAATTATAATAATTTAAGCGTTTTTTTTTTTCTAAGCTAGGTGAAATAGTTTTTTTTTCATAACTGTGTATATAAAATGTACAATGTTATAATAATTATTAAAAATAAAAATAAAAAAAAAGATAAATAAAGACAATAGTGTAAAAGTGCACATCAAGATCACTAGATGCTATGTTATATTACATTAATAATACTAACAACTACCAGTTGCAAACAAATTTTATCGATTAATTTATCGATTTATCGATATTACCATATTACCATTAATCGATAAAATTATTTCAATTATTTCAATACCAAACTTAATCGAAATTATTAGTCAAACTGTAAGGACCAACAATATATGTTACAATTTATAGTTTAGACTTGCTTAGAATTAATTCAACTTTTTTATATATTCATATTTTTTTTTATTAATAGTACAAATTTAGAATTTAATTAATAATTTTGTGGGTTTAATGTTTTAAACAAATTTTTTTCAACATTGCAAGCTCAATATTTTTGTTCTCTAATTTTAGACATTTTTATTGCTTTTGATAAACTTCTAAAGCCGATTTAACAGTACGAATAATGATGGCTTAAATAAAATAAAATTTATAAAAATTAAAAAATATATTGTTACATTGTATTTAAATTTTAAAGTACCCTAAAGATGACTATAGATTATAGTCGAAATATGTGTAAAAGTAAAACCTTTTAAAAATAAACAAATATTTTTTAAAAAGTTTATTATTTAACTATTGACCTATAAGCCCGTAAAAAACAAAATTATTTTTAAAAAATTCATTTTTTATTAAAGTATAATTTTTGATGTTATACGGATTTCACCCATGGGCGTACACGGGAATTTATCAAAAAAAAAAAAAATGATTTTTTGAATAGTAATCAAAAATTCATATAAAGATATTTTATTTAAATATCTCCCCAAATATATGGGAGATATGAGAGTATTGAACCAAAAATCCTCTCCCTATTTCTTGTATAGGCAATAGGGATTTGCTAAAGAGCCGCCATAACATGCGCTCCATCTTAAAAATATGTACAATATCCAATCTTAACAATATATAGTTGATAAAACTATATAATATATTCTATGTGATTAGCTCTGCGCCAAAATATATATACTGGGATAAGAAGGTATCAAGAAGCCTTTGCTAGTTAGTATCTTAAATTTAAATTGAATGGAATGTCCATTGTTTAGTTAGCGTTTTGTTTTTTCTATACAAAATAACTGTTATAACAGTAACAATAACTGTAAAGTACCTTTAAAATACCTTTATTCAAATAATAATCAAATTGTTCAAATAATCAAATTCAAATTCAAATAATCAAATTGTTCAAAATTTCGACCATTTTGATATTCCAATATGTTTAAACACAGAATATTAAATGCCAAAGTGTTCAAATATCAAATAGCAGTCATATTTGAAAATAGGCCTTTTCTTTTGTAAGCTTATCACAAAAGAACAACCGCTTATTTTAAAAATAACATATGAAGCAACAACAGTGCTGATCTAGCATTTTTGAAATCGCTTAACAAAAAAGCAGCTCAAATCGTATATTTGACAATAGGCTTTTTCTTTTGTAAGCTTATCACAAAAGAACAACCGCTTATTTTAAAAATAACATATGAAGCAACAACAGTGCTGATCTAGCATTTTTGAAATCGCTTAACAAATAAACAGCTCAAATCGTATGGTTGCCGAAACTAAAAAATCGTCTATTGTGAATGATTTTTGGAAGTACATACGAAATTTTCAGTTAACTGTCAACGAATGATTTCGTTAATTCTTCGTATTTCGTTTCGTCATTGTTCGTAACAAATATATCACTTTTTCTATTTATTATTTTACTGTTGTAAGACATGAAAATTCATATTTTATTCACAATCTTGTAAAAAAAAATATTCTTACCAATAAAAACAAAGAATTATTATTAATTTTCGAAATTTTAACTTCATATTTTATTACGTGTTTTGCATATATTAGCCTAAGAAAATTTCCATTTTGTCCAGAGTTGCCATCGTATGTAGTGCTCAATTTATTTATTCTTTTGCGACATGCTTACAAAAGAAAAGGCCTAATATTATTAGAGCTCTTCGAATATATTGCTGTTCGAGCATGTTTATGCTCAATCATTTGACATATAGAATTTTTTTTGCATATGAAGATATGGTGGATTTACTATAATACATCAGTCAATAAGTCGTGTAACTGACACACAAATGGCGCTGCCATTGTCAAATCCACATGCACATGGTATAATCTTCATTGACTATCTCGAAAAGGGAAAAACCATCAATAGTAACTACTATACGGCATTATTGAAAAAACGACCGCATATGGCGAAGAAAAAAATTTTGTTTCACCAAGACAATGCACCATGACACAAGTCAATAAAAACGATGGCAAAATTACACGAATTACACTTCGAATTGCTTCCTCATCCACCGTATAGTCCAGATCTGGGCCCCAGCGACTACTGGCTATTAGCTGATCTCAAAAAAATACTCGTTGGTAAGAAATACATCTCAAATGAAGAAGTAATTGCTGCAACTGAAGCCTATATTGAGGTAAAACACAAATCCTTCTACAAGCACGGCATCGAGAAGTTAGAGAAGCGTTGGAATGATTGTATCGCCCTTGAAGGAGATTATATTGGTGAGTGAAGTCGATTTTTGGCAGAAAAAATTTGTTTTTCTTAGTTGGTCACACGTTTTATTGACTGATATGTTATGCTATGGAGCAACAAAACGATCACGAATTAAAGACAATGTTCCAAAGGGGTTATTTAGGCAAGTAAATGACAAATTTCCACTCGTATTATGACGATTGTAGGTTTGAGTATTAACAAATACTGCTTACCATAACAAATTTCTGACAGTATAGACTATGAGAAGTTTGAGCATTTACAATAATACTTTACTACAGGGATAATTCGACCATGGTTTTGCATCAATTCAAGGCAAGTCACACTCCAGAAGCAGATCTACCTTACATCAGATAAAACAAAAACACATCTATCTGGCCTCGTTAGCACGACACCACCGATATTAGGCGCCATTTTTTACATCTTTTACATTATTTTTATTTTTATTGTATTTCCATTCTGATTTAGATTATATCTTTTATTAAAGTTCATAATGTAAGCCTATTAATAATACCCCGAATAACTAATACCCCGATTTGCGTTATCCCGATTTGTGTGGATTCGAATTACGTTGCCAAAAACAAAAAAAAAGTTTTGGCTTTGAATGGCGTCGGCAGGATTTCGATTTGCGTCGTTTTTTAATACATCCGTACAGAGGGGATTCCCATTTTATTTATTGCAGGTCACATTTTTTAAAAGGGGATTTATATGTATTAGGTTTTTAGTTAAAAAAAGTCAGTTGACATTTGTGTGGTGAAGTGAAAAGGTAAATTTCTACTTTATATAGTATAAAAATGAGTCAAAACCGAAAACAAATTTTCTTGAAACAAAAGCTGGATATTTTAAAACGTGCTGACATTGGAAGAATTCTGGGTTTAGCTCAAACTACTGTAAGAACAATTTGTTATCGTGATGGGGACAAGATAAAGGACTTCTATCCATTTGATTAGAAAATCAGAATCAGAAAAATGCCATTGAGCCAAATACTAATTCAGAATAAAGCTCTGTAGATATTCAATGAATTAAAAGGTAATTCTCCATCAACAAACGGTCAAAAACCAGAATATTTTTGGAAATAAAATATGTGGAGAAATGTGATTCGATTCGCCTCGCATTTTGTCGGTCCCAATTAACCCCGCAAATCGAAGTATTAGTGTATTTATGTTTACAACAATATATACACTACACGTACGGGATAAAACAAGAGACACTTTTGTTTGACGAATACACATTTCTCCACTCGGATAAGCCTAGATAGATTCTAGGTGAAACGCTTATGTGGGAACTGGAAGAGGACCAGAAAAATTACTTTCAAATGTCTATTAATATTTAACCTCTCCCAGTATATAAGAAACGCATACGAATGTCATTATATTGATTAATTTATATGTTTTCATTTTCATATTAATACTCATTTGAAGTTATATATTCTTTTTGGTTATTTTAATATTCATTCTTATATTTCAATTTTTATATGTTCAAGCTCAATATTTGGGGGCTGTCAGTTTAACAAGACTGGAACACATACCTGAGGTTGCTATTAGTACAATTTGTTAATAACATGCGCATCCTAAGTGATACATACTATCGCTAGAAATAAAACTCTGATCTGATATCGCAATTGTCCTTAATGGTCTACGCATGGCCTTTTTGGTCTGCCAGCATAACCTAACTTAACCTAATTATATATTTATATTTTGATTATTATTTAATTATTATTTAGTTATATTTTTATTATCATTTAATTATTATTTAATTTTATTCTTATTGTAATACCTTAAAATTTTAATTTTTAATAATTTTTTTTATTATTGCCTTCAAAGTACTCTCCTCCTGCGGCAATGCATGCATATGCATGCCAACGCTTGATTCAATTTTCCATACAAGTTTTATAGGCCGCCGAAGGTATGGCCTTTAGTTCACGCAGCGAATTCTCTTTTATGGCCTCTATGGTCTCAAAACGCGTTCCTCGTATTGGCAATTTGAGTCGGGGGAAGAGGAAAATGTCACACGGGGCCATATCTGGAGAGTACGGTGCTTGGTTGATGGTATTGATGGAGTTTTTTGCCAAAAACTGTGACACAACCAACGCTGTGTGAGCCGGTGCGTTATCGTGGTGTAAAATCCATGAATTTTCCTTCCATAAATCCTCTCTTTGCCTCTCTTTGCAAATGGCCTCACGCAAACGACGCATAACAGAAAAATAATACTTCTTATTGACCGTTTGACCATTTGACTGTCCGGAAGGAACTCATAGTGCACCACACCATGAATATCGCAGAAAACAGTCACAAAACAGCATAACCTTGATTTTGGACCGACTTTGGCGTTCTCTTTTCGGTTTCGGCTCACCTTCGAAGCACCATTCGGTCGATTGTTGTTTGGTGGGCATGTCAAATTCATAGACCCATGTCTCATCACCAATTATGATGCGTTCGATGAATGTGTGGTCATAGAGACCACTGCGTTGGAAATCATCTCTTTGGCCACATCACAACGACGTTTCTTTTGAATGAAATTCAGCTAAAAATCGCCACATGAAAATTGTTCGACTTCTTTGTATAAACGCCAAAAAAAAACTAATCGTACGATATGCGTTAACCTTTTAAGGAATGTGTATATTAGTGTTGCCAGCGTGAATATAAAAAAATGTACCGATTGGATAAGCGCGGGAATACAAAAATTAAAATTCTCGTTCTTTTTTGATCACAAGGCATATTCATATGTTTAAGAAGTTTTTATTATTTAGTATTTAGTATATAATAATATATATTCATATATTAATATTTAACAATTTACGTTTGGAGATAAGGTATGCCATCACATAGGTTATTATCTGTGGGGCTAAGTATACAACTTTTTTCTGGCGTATCTCCGGTCACTAGCCTTCACCGTGACCGGAAAGTCACAAAGCTCCAGTTATCTACCAACTAAGGTTTGGACACATAGAGATACTATATTAGACTTTGATTAGATATTTCAAATGTTTCAGATTTTTAAGTTTGAAATGAAATTTGTCATTGTGTTCCCAATAGAGTAAGATTTAGATCTGTTGCCTCTACAATGCTATGCTCCACGAGAAGAAGAGTACTACAGTGAGTGAGATAAAGTCTCTGTTTGTTGATTTCTCTTTTACTGTCTTAGGTTAATAAAATTATACGTAAGCAGTAATTTGATAAAAATATATATAAATTCTATAAACAAAACAAAATGAGCGGTGAGCATATAACATATAAGCCGATTTCTGTGGCTCTCAAGCAAACCAGATAAAGTTTTTTACATGATGTATGAAATAATGCAAACACTTTAGATTAAATAAAATGTGCGGTTCTTTACAACAATGTGTTGGGTAAGAACGGGCTTAGGATAGTTAGCAACGATAGCCCGTACACTACTATAACGAATTTGCTATAATAATACATTAAAAAATACATATTTGTAATGTATTGTATTTAATTGGAGATTTTTAAGTGATAAGGTGGTAAGTACTCTTGAAATAATTGTAAAGTAAAGAAAAGTATGAAATCAGCACTGTTAAATTCGGCTATAGAACCTTTTCTCTAACATATACAACGTATCTATAATTTTTTTGTATTATATACAAGTAATATATAATGTAAAGGCTTATATAAGATATGCTTATGTATATAATGTATATATAAATGCTTATAGTAATAAATTAAATATATGAAAGCATCTGAGCGCAGATAAGGTATTGAAGAAAAATATAACTAAAATAGATTTTCTACATCCAGAGAGAGAGAAGAGAATAACTTAAACAGCTTCGTTTGAACTTACCGCTTGCATTTTCGACAACACATAACTCATTCACGGCGTGTTCGTTTTGGACGTGATGCAGCGATTGAATCTGCGGTTGTATCTGGAACATTCTGATGCACGGTAGCGGTACTAACATTTGCTGTAGCATATGTTGAATTTGTCGTATGATTGCCCATTTTATCGATGCCACGCACTTTTTTGCTGGCAACTGATTGTGCTGTAACCTGCAATGATATTGCATGTGTATTCAATTTTTCGGCCAGCAATAAGTCTTTGAGTCCTTTCATTTTTTGACTATATAATGTTATCACTGGACGCTTAAGCATAAATTCAAAAGGATCCTCTTCTTTGGGTAATGCATCCAACTTGGTTGTTGTCGTTGTCGTTGTTGGTGTTGGTGTTGTTGTTGTTGTATATACTGAAGCTTGCGGCAGTGCTGCTGCTGCTGATGACGATGTTGTAGCCGTAGTTGTTATTGCTGTTGTTGTTGCTGCTGCTGTTGTTGTAGTTGTAATTGATGTTGATGTTGATGTTGATGTTGAAGTAGTTGTGATTGTTGCGTTTAATTTTTCTAAATGGTCCTGTTCAGTTTTTGTTATTGATTCCATTTTAGTTACTTTGCATTCATTTGATTCATTTTGAGTTTTCTCTTCCGGTGTTCGTTTTTGTTCTAATTTTGTAGTTTCAGTCCCATTGTTAGCCTCTTTATTGTTGTTATTAATATTATTAATATTGTTGTTGTTATGCATGGGATGATCTTGTTGTTCTTGCTGTTTCTGCTCAGCAAATGGTTGTCCACCACCTTGTAGAAGAAAATCAGGGTTTAAAATCTTTTGACCACATGCAGCGGTCAAATCTGCCAATGTCGTAGACATGTCCGTCTTTTTGACATCATGTTGATATTTCTGAAAGTAAATAATTAAACGTTAGTAGTGCAAAGACATGTTTAAAAATTAACTAAATATTTAAATATTTAGATATTAAGGACTCGACATGAGCATCCATATTGTATGAAGACTTTTATCGAACGCACACACCTATTGAACGAACACTCTAGGTGAACAAACATTCCTACTCAACAAACACCCTTATTGAACGAATATTCCAATCGAATAATCATCACTTCTATTAAATGAAGCACCCCTAATAATCGACAACTACTACTAAAGACTCGACATGAGCATCCATATTGTATGAAGGCTTTTATCGAACGCACGCACACACCTATTGAACGAACACTCTAGGTGAGCGAACATTCCTACTCAACAAACACCCTTATTGAACGAATATTCCAATCGAATAATCATCATTTCTATTAAATGAACCACTCCTATTAATCGACAACCACTACTAAAGACTCGACATGAGCATCCATATTGTATGAAGGCTTTTATCGAACGCACACACCTATTGAACGAACACTCTAGGTGAGCGAACATTCCTACTCAACAAACACCCTTATTGAACGAATATCCCAATCAAATAATCATCATTTCTATTAAATGAACCACTCCTACTAAATGACAATCACTACTAAGGACTCGACATTAGCATCCATATTGTATGAAGACTTTAATCGAACGCACACACCTACTGAACGAACATTCTAGGTAAGCGAACATCCCTACTCAGCAAACACCATTATTAAATTAATATCCCAATCGAATAATCATCACTTCTATTAAATGAAGCACTCCTATTAATCGACAACCACTATTACTTACACCCCAACTGAACGAACACCTCTATTAAAGGACTATCCTTATTGAGCGAACATACTTATTCAACGAACATTTCGATTAAACGAACTCCTCTATTAACGAACTCCGCAATTAAATGAACGGCTCTACTGAACTAACATCCTCATTGAACGAACATAACTATTAACGAACACCCCTATTGAGTAATAGGGGTGTTCGTGGCTTAAATAGGTGGCCTCAATAGGTGGCTTAAACGAACACCACCATTGAATAAACATATCTATTAAAAGCAATTTTATTAAATGTACACCGTTATTGAACAAAAGCCCCTAATGAATGAACACCTTTATTAAACAAAGACCCTAATTGAAAAAACACCTCTACTGAATGAATAGTCCTATTGTACGAACACTCTATTGAAGGAATATCTCTAATGAACGAACTCCTTTATTGAACGAACATCCCTATTGATGGAATACACCTATTACAGGAACATTCCTATTGAATGGACACCTATTGAACGAGCAGCGCTATTAGACAAACAACCTAACATTCTAACAACCTAACATGAACTCACCCTCTTCTCGACCTATCCACCACATTCTATTCCACTGATGTAATCCATTCGTGTTCTTAGTTTTGCAAGTCCGTATGGATTACAAAAACAACATGGCTTATGCCCACTATAAATAAAAATATTTAAATAAATATATTCATTTCTGATATTTCTGCAAAACTAATACTAGTCCAAGTTATGAAAACATTGTACTCAGTTCATTAAATTAATCTAAAGTACACAAAAGCTTATAATGATGTGCTAGAAGCACCCGAGTCTATCTAGCGTCCCAAAGTCACTTGGCTTTTCGACGAATTTAATGTCGATTACACTTACTAGTTATGCTTTTAGTGCACAACTTTTAAAACACATTTTAAAAGTTATAAATAAATAATTTTGATATAAGAAAGTAAATAATTCGGTTAAGGTGCTCTGACTCTCTGCTTCAAATTTGGCAGGGCACGAGTACGATTCCTGGTACTTGCACTCTTGAAAAATTATTTACGAAAAATTAAATACAAGAATTATTTCGAAGACCACTGATGATGGGTATTTGGCAATACCCGAAACAGCTGTATGGTCAGTCAAAAATGCAATTAATTAAAATAATATAAAATGAATTTTTGTTGTTGTAGTTCACTACTGTTCGAAAAAACCTCTTTATAAATTATTTACACTAGAAAAAAATACAAAAAAATAAACACAACAGCGAAAAAAAAAATCATATTGTATCAATAATAAAATTATCATTTATAATCCATTCCCGAGTATCGAATTATATAAATATAGACACAATTGAGTGTAGGGTATCATTTTGTTATTGTATAATATCAGCAATTAAAGCGGTAAGATGACTAATGGATGGCAATTATTCGTTTGTATTATATTTAAATAAATGTATTGAGTCAGATGAGAAAAAAAATCAATTTTCATTTTCAACGAACAGTTTATTTTGAGACTGAAACCACACATTGTTTTAATGAGCTTAACATAGACAGTAGCATGTAGATCGGGGGGTGACAAATATATAATTAATAAACTTACCTCATCATTTTTAACTAAATTATTATTATTTCCTTCTATTTGCATAGTCGTCTGTGCATTATTAGTCTCCTTTTTAGCCTCATGTACTTCCTGTTTTTCGGTGGCATTACCGCCTGCAACAGCCTCTGTTCCCTTAACATGATTCAGTGCAGCCTCTTCATCCTCCGGCACTTTGATAACCACTTGCGAACGTATATCATAATCGAATTTTGTTATATTATTCACTAATGGCTTGGCCCAACCGATGTGTAAAATTGGTGTCAGGCTGTATTCTTCCCATTGACAGATGCCATCATAGAAACGCAACAAATTCGCAAATACCTCAGAATCACGCAGAATACTACGTGCCGAATGTCCTGATCCTTCAGTTTTCATAACATATGGTATCATATCATTAGCAATATCCAATAGCTCCTTGTAGATCTCCTCATCATCGCGACAATTGTAGGTATATAAGCGTATGACATCAGCAGCGTTCGCCCAAGATGCAAACGCTTCTCGATACTTGAGCAAACGATTGAAATAATTACCCAAATATGTGTGTGGATAAACATGATGATTGCTATAATATGCACGTGCCGATTTTATTGATTCGCGATAAAGTTGCTCACAAGTCATACCATTTTGCGAGGGAGAAATTTCTTCAAGTTCGCCTAGTGTACCTAAAAATTGTATTTGTACAATTACATCGATTCCATTGGAGTTAAATATGGTATAAGTTAAAGTATAATTTATTGTTATTATTATTATTATTGTTGGATAAGTTACAGGGTTTTAATACTTCTAATAACATGTTTAAAATTTGCGTAAACTGCACAGAACAGAAATCCATGCGTTCACTTCTTCACACACATGGATCCCAGCACAGGCATCTGTTCTGGGCAGTGAGTGACACAAACAATAAAAATATACAAATGTTAAATAAATGTTAAATTACTACTTATAAGTGAATAAATTTAATTTATATAAATATTTACCCAAAGCCATAGGATATTTGCGCAAATGACCCATATCATATAATAACCATAGCAATTTTTGTTGTAACTCAGCCACTTCAACACAATCACTATTGGTCGTAAGTGAAATGTTTATAGCTGACACTATAGCCGCTACTTCCATAGATCTATCACAAACTACAGCTAGACCACCCAGATATAACCAAGAACCAGACTCAATACCAGGTGTTATATCTTGTCCACGCTTATCCTCCGTACCTTTACCATGCCATGTTACTTCTATAGTTTCCAGGCGCTTATTACCAAACACCACCCAAGCATGATCTTCTGATATAGCTAAATGCACATCACGATAACCAAGCAATTGACAACCGGCCACAACAGCTAAAGCAACACCAAAACAGTCAAGTTTATTGCCTGATAGGTAACTATAGAGGTTCTGTAGATGTGCACGATCCTTATGACTGCTGCGTATTAACGAATGCCAAATGACATCAGAAACTTTCTTGATTACTTCGCGCGTTGCTTGACGATTATGCGCAGATTTTGGTTTTTCAACTACGGCAAGTATGGTTTGGAATTTCTTGTACAAGCCCGAAATGAAATCGTGTGTGACAACCGGAAAAGGTACCGAATTACCCATTATTACATCCGCATTTTGCGCTGTAAACATAAAATTGTAATTAATTAATTGAAAAACTTATCATATATGGTATATAGAAATATATATATATATAATATATTATAATAAATTCATTGTTTAAAATAAGTTTAATTGTAATCAAATCCTGGAAGCACCCACTTTCCATGGCGAAAGTGTGCAACACAAACCTATAAGAAAAAAGCGCAGCTCGACACATTTCTTCTTTCTTCTAACTCGCTTTTTATAAGTCTTAACAAAATAAACACGTTTCCATGTGCAGAGATGCATTTTAAATTGGGGCGTGTTTTTCTATGCTGCTATGTCCACAAACCAAATAAACAGCTGATTTTTCTTTTTTTTTTGGCTTTGAGGCGCGATGGAAAGTGTTGGTCTGAACAGCATTTTTCGATTAAACAGCAAATATTGTTTTATGTTAGACTAAAAAGTTTAGTATAGCATATAAATTTGCTAGCTTGCTGACGGTCCAGTAAGGAAGAGGAAGATGAAAAGATGATGGGAGGATAGGAGATGAAAAGACACGGAGGAGAATGAAAAGTCACCCCCGCTCATGAGCAAGAGCCGTCATTAAGTTATAAACACGGTTGCCACTTGAAAATTTTTTCCTGTACCAAAATTGGTTTAAAAAGGTACCATTTCTGTAAAAACAGGTCCAAAATTTTTTTGGACCTTTTTATTTTTTCGTTCTGTGTTTTTCATAGTGTTATAAATGAACAAAATATAAAATAGTGCGAAGTTGCATTTTTAAAAAAAATTAATTGGAAATATCCACAATAATTGGGTCGTCAAAAATGTACCATTTTTTGAACATGAGTACCAAACGAAAAAAAAGTACCAATTTTGGTACTAAAGTACCATAAGTGGCAACCGTGGTTATAAATTGGCACACGCTCGTGAGCAAGAGCACGAGCTGAGACTCATGAGATCTCATGAGCTGCTTACTATTTATATTGATTCAAGAGTTTTAAATTAGATTATATTGTATTTCGAATTTGAAAATAAAAAAATAAATATTTCAAAATTTTACATGACTATTATAAAACACTTTGCTTAGAATGCGAAAAACAAGTGTAATAAATTTTATATGCCTTAAATGTAATAAAAAACTGTTGCCAGTAATCTGGCTTTTCAGCTAAACTCTCGGTTCATGAGACCTCATGAGCACCTCTTCAATATGAGCAAATTGAAGGTTCACGCTGATGAACAGCTCTTTAACATGAGCCAATTTTGGGTTCACGTAATAATTGACTCTTGCTAATGGGCCTGAGCTGTTAATGAGTGAGCAAATACGAAGCCTGATGTATCTTTCATCAAACACTTTTTTTTTTAAAAAACAACCTATATTAGATATGAATAGAATAGTTAACTATGTGTTAATTTATTACCATTATTAAAGTGTGCCTAATAGATATTAAGTGAGACGTGTGCGGGTTCAGGTTCCATTAATCAAAGAATTCATTCCCTATTATATATATATATGGGCTAATAAATAGTATTTATAATCGTTATATATTTAAATATATGTACCTAAATACACTTGAGTAATTAAAGTAGGGTGCTTAAAACCACAATAAAAAACAATTATTCACTGGAAAAATAAAAGAATTGCATGAGATTAATTTAAAAATTTCATTTAAATGAGATATAAAATAGTGTTTTTATTATTTGATCGTTACAACAACTATTGAAAAGATTTGCATCTTAAGCAGTTTTCAGAGAAAACATATTTTCTGTGTAATTCAGACTATAAACAAATAAATAATCTAATAAAAGTGCAATAAAACTGTAGATATGATCGCTATACATATGGTTTAGGATTCCTGAACTTATCTAGTGCATTCAATGAAAATTGTTTATAGCCTCAAAATTATTAAGCATTTTTTTTATTGTTTCACATATATTTTTTTATTAGACACGCTATATATAGTTCTAGAATCTGAACCACTAAATTAAAAATATTCAAAAACCATTTGGTACAAAGAAATACTGGAGAACAAGTTCTTGAGGGGAAAGATAATTGCAATTATTATGATTCTAGCCCTTGATACATAGTATTGCTTTTTTAAGAATTTAAAGTTTTAAAATTAGTACTGATTTTGATTGCATGTGTGTAAAAAATCAACCTGTTTATAAGAAAAAGAACGTAATAATATGTATGTACTTTCATTAGTCCTTTCTAACCGTCTTAAAATCATTCGAATGCTAAACTTTTTTCGATACAGAGTTATAGCGCACAATAAACGCGAAAGACTAAATATGTACATATATGGGAGTAGTACTACACAAATATACTAATCAGTGACATTTACTCCGCAGCACAGCAAAACATGACACCTATCTCTTCTTAATGTCAGATCTCAAACTTAGCTTATTTTATATAAATGATTTACCGTACTCGACAGTCTTTATAGGCCCAAGAGACTTGGATAACACATTAAGTGAACTAGCTTTTTGATGTGAATCTGTAGTTCTGAGCAATCATCATAGATTAGTAACTTCAGAACGTAAATACAGCAGTTTTAAGAAGTTATTATTAGTCTCTTTTAATCGAATAACAGAGGCTCGGTTAATTATTTTACTTTCATTTATTACTAAAAAATTAGAGAGAAGTTAAAGAAAAGGCTTTCCCTTATTTTTTGTATTGTGTTACTTTCATAAGCTTTTAGTGTATGGAATTTAATAAATAAAGACGATATTATAATATAGCTTAATTTACTAATTACTTATGTCTGGTTATACTACTACTTTATTTTAGGTTGCCTAGTCTGGTGGCAAAAGGTCACACAGGCTGGATCTATTACTGTTTGTACGAAACTTCAGAGACTTGCGTGTCTCCAAATAACTGGTGCTATGAGAACTAGTCCAACTGTAGCACTTGAGGCTATACTTGTGTTGACACCACTGTACATACATATTCAATCTATGCCTGGTGCGCTTTGATTAAAACTCCACATGAGTAAGATTTATCCCAACTTTTGTGACGGAACAATATTACAAACATTCGATGCACATAAAATACCTCAGTGCGATGGAGACTATATAACAGAACTCCATCGCTTTGGCAGAAAATTTGAGGTACACCTACATCACGTTCAACGTGAGAAATCGGAAGCCCACAGGTTGACCCAAAAAATTTGGTGTGTCAAACAAATGGATCAAATATGAATAGAGGCACTGGTGCTGGTGTATATGGACTCAGCAGCAGAATTTCGGAGGCAATGGGCGCATGGCCGAGTGGCTTCCAAGCTAAAATTCACACAATCAACTTATGCGTAAGATTCAATATCATCACAAAACTGTCTGGCTCTAGATTGTACTGGGCTGGAGTACTGGGAAGACTTCTCAGGACTAAGATAAAGCAATGCACTGATAGAACTGTACTCCTACAAAATCATACTTAAATTCTCAAAATGTAATTTAAGGTTGATAACGGGTTTCATTATAGGTCATTATGGTTTGAAATATCACCTTCGTAAACTACATAAGTCCTGCTACTACGATCTGTTAATTCGGAATGCAGATTACGCCTCGTAGATTAGGAAACTACTATGCATATTCTTTGTAACTGTCCAGCTTTAATAACGCACAGAAGAAATTTGTTTCATATGGAATTTCTGTCACCAAAATAGATTAAGAGCTCTTCTCTAGATTTAGTTCTGGACTTTGTTCACAAAGCCATAAAGTGCTTTGTGTAATCAACAGTGAAATTGATATAATAAAACTCTACTGGCCGCAGTACAGAGTGTTGGGCGATTATTTTAATAAAGTAATACTTTAGCTAAAATTATCAGACACGATTTCATTATTTGATTTGATTTGCCTAATGATTTTAAGGATTTCAACCAAAAAAAAATTGATACCGAGTTCTTCGGTATTAAATACAATAACCTCGTTTAGTCACATATAGTCATAGTTATATGCGTCATCATATTAATATTCTGTTAAGTGATATAAGCAATAACATTACAATGGATCGGACATACCAACTGACATACCATATGTTTTTCTTTTTAACTTTAACTTTACCACATTTTTTTAATATCTTAAAGAAAGGTACAAACTTATACATTGATTTTTTTTTGTTATACTCTTCTCATATTAAAAGAATTGCCATATGTTTTTGTTGTCAATTTTATAATTCCAATGATTTTTGTTTCTTAGAAAAATAAAAATAATAAAATTTATAACTAAAACACATATGGTTTCAGAATCCATTTTGTTAATAGTAACCACACTTTTTTTTGTATCAACATCGTTACTCAAATTTGAATTCCATATAATATAAAATTGTACAATTGATTTCATCATAAATCCATTTAATGGATAATACAAATACAAAATATATATATATATATATTGTTCCCACATCTTCATTCTATCATTTAAGCTTTCCATTATATGATATTGCCACCAAATACCAATCCATTCTTACTCCTAAACAAGCCCTTCTCCTTTTGCACTACCAACACCTATCTATATCCTAACCCTTGTATAATTCTTTGTAACTTTTTTCATGTTACTGCTTAATAGATCTCTGCGGGCTACAAGTACAACATTATGTGGTATCTATTACATCATGTTAACTTGAATCACGAGCTAAACAAAATGAGCTTCTCTATAATCATAAAATACAGTCACTACCGATATTATATATATATATATATATATATATATAATATATATATATATATATATATATATATTAGGTAATACTATCATTTTAGCTTGATTAAACAAAGGTTATGCTAAAATAATAACAATTTAATATATATAGGTACCACATATCTATTCTAACCCCTCATTTAAAGTTTTCATTATGCTTTATCTAAAAAATTAGTTTAATTTGGGTTACCATCTAAACAGTATGGGGGGTTTGGCTATCGCAAATTCCTGTTATTATATAAACAAAAAAAAAATTTTTCACGTTCTACACAGGATGTGTTTATCTGAAATCAAAACAGCAGACTCTATGAGACTACGAAACTTTAAATTTATGGTGGATCTGTATAAAAAGCAGAATATTTTATGGATATCTACGATATACTATCGATAAGGAAATAATTAAACGAATATATCTTCTACTTTTAATATTTAACTAATAATAACACGTTTTATTCGGTTATCTATTAATTGATAGAATTCTAGTCCTAGGAAATTATTTCTTTATAGTATTTTTTAAAAATCATGTTTAAGCCTCATTGCATCAATGACTTAAAATGGTTATAAAATGGTTTATATTTTTATTATAAGAATTTAGAGACAAAAATTTTTTTATTGCTAAACAATCCTTATAAAATTAAGGTTATGTTGGACGTAGACCAATTCGATCAAATATATATATAATATATATAAAGTATAATATATATAAAGTTCAGTTGTAGTATTTTAATTTTATATTACTTTAATTTAATATCATTTTGATTTAATATTATATTAATTCAATATTATTTTAAATTAATATTTTTTTAATTAAAAATTCTTTTAATTTTTTATTTTAATTTAATATTATTTTAATTTACTGTAATATTTTAATTTAATATTATTTTGTTTATTTTATTTTTATATAAATTTATTATTATTTTAATTTAATATTATTCTAGTTTAATATTATTTCAATTTATTATTATTTTAATTTAATATTATTTTAATTTATTATTATTTTAATTTGAAATTATTTTAATATAATATTATTATAATTACTATTATTTTAATTTAATATTTCACTGTTATATTTCAATTTAATATTATTTATATATAATATTATTCTAATTAAATATTATTTTAATTTACTGTAATATTATTTTACTGTAATATTTTAATTTAATATTATATAAATTTAATATTATTCTAATTTAATTTTATACAAATTTAACATTATTCTAATTTGATATTATTTTACTGTAATATTTTAATTTAATATTTTTATAATTTAATCTTATATTATTTGAATTTAATATTATTTAATTTAATATTATTTTAATTTGATATTATTTTAATTTAATATTTAACTGTTATATTTCAATTTAATATTATTTATATATAATATTATTATAATTTAATTTTATATAAATTTAGCATTATTCTAATTTGATATTATTTTACTGTAATATTTTAATTTAATATTATATAAATTTAATATTATTCTAATTTAATTTTATACAAATTTAACATTATTCTAATTTGATATTATTTTACTGTGTGTGTGTGTGTAATATTTTAATTTAATATTATTATAATTTAATCTTATATTATTTGAATTTAATATTATTTAATTTAATATTATTTTAATTTGATATTATTTTAATTTAATATTTAACTGTTATGTTTCAATTTAATATTATTTATATATAATATTATTATAATTTAATTTTATATAAATTTAGCATTATTCTAATTTGATATTATTTTACTGTGTGTAATATTTTAATTTAATATTATTATAATTTAATCTTATATTATTTGAATTTAATATTATTCAATTTAATATTATTTTAATTTGATATTATTTTAATATTTTAATTTAATATTTTAATTTAATATTATATAAATTTAATATTATTCTAATATAATATTATTTTAATTTAATATTATTTTAATTTAATATTTTACTGTAATATTTCAATTTAATGTTATTTATATATAATATTATTCTAATTTATTATTATTTTAAATTAATATTATTCTAATAATCATATTATTTTAATTTAATATTATTTTTATTTGTTTTTTTTTTATTTAATGTTATTTTAATGTAATCATAAAATTTTTTTTTTTTTAGTTTAGCATATAAGGCGTGAATGTGTCTTAAGAGATTTTTGCACTTTTTATTATGACTGGGAGATAATGAGGGATGAGCAGTCAAGGAAAGGATTTTGTCACTTATACTTGACAATTAAAATGAGATAATACTTTTCACTATAATTCCAATAGGCACACAAATAAAGAAAAATGTTTTTTTTACTCACCTGCTGGTAAGCAATTACTTGTCGCTGCTCCTTGAGCTGCTCCTTGCGCTGCCTCGCCAGTTGTTAAGGAAATTTCAATGTAGCCAGCAACAATTGAAAGCAAAGTCAAATCTGGTTCAGTACCCGGCGTCTCTACGGAGCGCCGAAAGAAGTTTATCACATCACTAATAGATTTCAATGGAAACAAACTAGGATCCACTGCCAAATTTTGTGCCACAGATGGACTTGCACTTGCACTGCGTGTGACGGCTGCCATCGCAAAAGTTAATGCCAACCGCAATTAAGCCTCCCAATTATGTTGCTGCACTTGCGTGTGTGTAGGTGCGTTAATAATGTTTGTACGTTGTACGTTGTACGTTGTACGCTGTACGACGATGTCGTTGCTTTTGTCAGTTTTGTCAATTTCGTCAATTTTGTCAGTTTCGTCTGTTTTGTCAATTTTGAATTGGAGTGACCACTTTTGGTCACGGGGAACAACTGTTCTTGTTAAATGCTACCTTTCCGAAGTACCTTTGCGGCTCAACGTACAATTGCGACGCTACAAGTTGACAAACAACTTTTCGCGTTCATGTGTGTTAGCTTGTCCGCCAGTTCGCTGTTGTCCTACCAATGACTTTTTTAACTTCAAGCTTGCACCTTGCTTTGCCCTTTATGGTGTTGACTGCGTTCAACTAACTCAGCTTATGTTTTGTTATTGTAGGGAATTTTTTTTTTTAGCTCTTCTTTTTTGCTTAATCTTTTCTTCTCTTTTTACTTTTGATATTCGCTTGTTATTATTTTTTTTTTTATTTATTTTATCTGCACTTTATTATTTTTGTTTTCGTTATGTGTGTTTGCTTTTATGCAATCTACTGCATACTTGTGCACATTACCAATATTTGTTGCTGCCAATGTTGTGTGTTGTTGTGTGTTGTTGTTATCCTTTCGTGTTGCATACGTCAGCAGTGGCAAAGCAGGCACGCACTTACGAATCGTTCGTTCTGCTTGCAATCGTAAACGTTGATAAGCGTTCGAATGATTGCGGTGGAGGTGGTGGTGGGGTATGCGGGAATGTGCGAACTGTTGTACGGGTGAGCGGGCGGGCGGACGGTCGGTCGGTCGGTCGATGTGTATGCACGTAAAAAGTTGTATATTTGTTTTCAATTTTCTTTTTTATTTACAGCTTTAAAGCATATCTGCCGCGTGTTGAATTTTTGTTTAATAATCTAATAATCTAAAACAAAAAACACTTATTTGAATTCGCACTTTTATTTATTAAAGCAGCTTTAATTTTTTGTTTAAAATTTAAAATGCAAAAACTTTCGAGTAGACCGACAAAATTTCATTAGCACTCTTGTACACTCATTTGCACACAATAATTAGTAATGATCTAGAGTTCTGTTATATATAGACTAACGAGAAGTTCAAGCACTAACTTATTCATTACTCCACGATTATTCTTACTGCGCCTAAATGTTTACAAACATCAAATAAATGACGTCTCATTTTTAACAGCGCACAGGCGAATAGCAATACACAACGTTGTCGCTGATGACATTTACGCCGCAAAATTACACCACTCTCATGTAGTGTGGTGTAATTGTAACAAATCCAACCGGTTACCGGTTGTCAAGTACTTATTATTGTTGTAAATTGCAACGTAAGCGACTACGTTTTCTCCACACTTACAGACAATGAAGTAGTACTTATACAAAACGTCTCACCGAGTCGAACGAAGGAAGTTTTGATTTATTGTAAAATTTACAATGCTTTAATAAATAAATAATAAATTATATTATCATTTATTGTTTTATAGATCAAATTTTAATATATATATTTTTTAATGGGCTAATTAATAAATAAATTATTTAAATAAAACAACATTTCAAATTATTTTAAAAAATATTTTGTATTATAAAAATAATTAAAAAAGTTGTTCAAAGTTATTGTTTTTTATTCAAGCAATTGGATATAATTATTAAAAATATTATTAAATATTTAATTGTTTAATATTATTAAATATTTATTATAAATGTTAGAATAATATAAAAACTTGTGCTTTATTTAAATAAGGGACCAATATTTTAAAAAATATATATCATTTGTAAATAATTTAAAAGTTATATTTTATTCAAGCAATTGAACAATATTTTTAAAAAATATTATTGAATATTTATTATAAATGTTAGAATAATTTAAAAAATTCTGCTTTATTTAAATAAGTGAGCAACATGTTAAAAAATATATATCATTTGTAAATAATTTCAAAGTTATATTTTATTCAACCAATTGAACATAATTTTAAAAAATATAATTATCAAATATTATCAAATATTTATTTATGTAATATTATTAAATATTTATAATAAATGTTGAAACAATTTAAAAAACTGTCTTATTTAAACAATTGTCGAATATTTTAAAAATATATTTCTTATTAAAATAATATAAAAGTTATGTTTTCTTTAAATAGTTGACAAAAACTTTAAAAAATGTATTTTATTGAAATAACTTAAAAAGATATTTTTTTTTATTTATGGAATTAACCAATTAGCTCGTTCAAAAAGTTTATAAATAATATTAAAAATAAAAATATTTATGAATAAATATATTTAGGTTGTTAGTGATAATATTAATCAAGACAATAATATTTAATTATTATTATTTAAAATATGATATCAAAATTCCAAACACTAATGTCCCATCCAATATAAAACAAAACCAATATAATTTAAAAATAAACTAGATATTGCTAGCAAGCTCTAGCAACTCTAGCGCAAAGAGAAGAAATTCATAAATTTAATACAAATAAAAATATATAAAAATACATAAAAATACATATATCTAACTATATGAGAATACATATATCGTAAGACGAGCATAAAAGTTAATATATTATTTATTATCAATTTAATAATAAGATACAGTCGGGTGCATTTCGTTCCACTCTATTTATAACGTTAGACCTAATGCTTCACTTAATGTCGCTTAATGTTATAAATAAAGAAATTATAGCATAATCTGCTCTTATTTCACAGTGGAAGAGTTCAATCTCCATGTTAAATCTGTTCAGTCCTACTCTACAGATACATTGACTACAGTTCTCCTATTTCTTCTAAAGACACTTGATCATTTTCGACAAATGCAAGGCAGAGGCAGACACAGTGGTTTAGGTAGGCATTTAGAACGACTGAAGGAGCTGGACATACAGCAGGCATCACGTAAACGGTTATCTATTTTAATTAATTTAATATATTAGCATCTGTATACAAGTTGATCTTATTCTATTAAGAAAAACTTTAGCAATTTTATTTATATATATTCACCCGTAATGGTACCAGTATTGTGATAGGTTTGTTGACGGTTCACTACTGTTTAGGTTTTTAAATCTATAAGTTCTTAAGCGTTAACACTATCGACCAATACGTCCGAGTGGATTCTTAATAACCTAACCTAATCTAATAATCAATATATTATATATAAATTCAATATATTATATATGAATTTAATATATTATATATAATTATAATATATTATATATGAGTTTGATATATACACAAAGCATTGGCTATCTTTATTATGATTCAGCGATAGTGAATATTTTTTTCAGAACATAAGCAGAATGTGTAAATTATTTTCATACATACACGTCTATTAAATCCTATAGTTACCGCAAAAATATGTAAACTAAGCTGACAAACATTTCCGTAACAAAATATATTGCAATTTAAAAAAGACTGTGTAATTATAAATTGAAATAAATGTGAGACTACTTGCTCTAATAAAAAATAAAGCAGATCGTAATAATATTAAACTATTATTGACCGTCAACTACCAATAAGGGCAAGGGCAAGTAAAGTAAACATTTATTTTATAATATAAATTCTAGCTTCTGTGAAGCTCAGAATCAGCGCACCTTAACCAACTGATCCAAAGCCGTATTTGACTTTTTATGTTCGCATATTTTTCTGGAGTTTTTATACTTTTTGCTATGAAAGTTTTTATTAATAAATTTACTTGCTGTGTTTATATTAAAACAAAGTCATAAACCAGCTGTAGAATAACTGAATTAATCAATTAATCATATTTTTTATTTTTAATTGTAAAATTTCAATACTATTCTGTTCGTAGAAATTTATTTTTGTCGAGAGAAAAAATTTATAAAATTTATTTATTTCTACATTATATCAGTGGCGTTCACGAACATTCTAGTTCGACGAACGTTTTGCTTATGTGCCATTCTAATTTGGCGCCATATTATATTATTTAATTTTTTTTATTTTGCCGTTATATTAAAGTTAACGAATTCTAGACACTTTTTTTCGAAATAGAAAAAAGAAGCAAATACGGTTTTTTCGTTATTAATGTTAATGTACCAACACTTGAAAACTTTATTGTTTTTTAATCTAAAGCCATGTTTTATATTAGCTCTTCTACGAGCTACTCGTAGAACCTTTGAGTAACACTGTGTATACACAAGTGCGTTCCACCAACAAATTTTCGAGTAAATGAGAGCATCTGAGAGAGCATAACATCCCTGTCGAAATTTAAAAATTACTACAGACTTTACTCGTATAACGTGCGTTCCACCAACAAATTGTCGAGTAAATGAGAGCATCTGAGAGAGCGTAACATCCCTGTCGAAATTTGAAAAAGCTACACAGACTTTACTCGTACATTTTATTTCAACTAAAATTTTTGTTGATGTGTGCATCAGCTGTTTTGGTTTGAATTTTAATTTTTGTATTAATTATTTGCGCAGCACTCGTCTTTTCACCAGACTTTACCCAAAGCTGTTTCATGAGAATCTATGTAAAGAGCGAAATTTGGCATTTTATTTGTGTTACGCTCTCAGTTTGTATTTTACTTGTGTTTTACTTGAGTTTTACTACATGTAGCTCGTGAAACAGACCTACTTTTGTGTCTGATATTTTCTTCTGTTAATTGGTATCGAAAAACATCAAAGTACTTTGAATTTTTTAGAAAACACAAAAATGTTCTTAAAAAGCTTACATACAAATATTTAAAGTACTTTTACAGTTATTGTCAAGTGATAGCTAACACTAAAACCTTAAAACTATTATTAAAGTTTTCAGGCGATATTTGAAAGCAATGTATTTTTTATTAAAATTGGTATTATGCTACGTTTAGTATATTGCACTTTACTTTACCTAAATGCAGCGATATGCTCTATATTTCAAATAAAATATAAACGAAATGTATATATAAAAATATCCTAAAGAGGTTTGATTAGTTTATGGACATGGTATGGACATGAATTATACTGCTTTTAGTAAGGCAGAAAAGTTTTTTAGCCAAACTCATTTTAAGATTGTACCGCTACTTAAAAATGAGTCATGAAACAATTTAAAAGACTTGCATAAAACTCGGTTGAATAAGTATAAGTGTAAACTTGGTTTTATACTGCAAACACTCAAAATGTTTATAAGCAAACTTCATTATAGGATTTTCGCGCTACCATAAAAACGATTTTGAAGGCCTTGAAACAATTAAAACATTAGCGTAAATGAGGTAATTGTCTTTTTGTTTTGTTTGTTATTTGTAATTTCTAGATAATAGTACTATGTAAATATGGTACTATATATGCATCAAGTTTTAATCTTTTATACAGTTATAATACAGTTTTATATTAAATCTCCTTTAAAATGGAAGTCAAAAATTTTTAAATCAAATAAAAAATAATTTATGTTATTTTATATATGCGCTTACAAAATTATTTCATTTTCTTAATTGACACATATGTCTTGTCAATCACGGTACGGAAAACGTATTGTGCAACGTCAATAACGTCAAGTGAATGACATGCGTTACGTTGAGTAAGTGCTTTCCAACACTGGCGTGTACAAAAACAAACGCTTTTTATTAAATAAAAAATTTTGTAATTTTGTTGAATTTTCTTAAAAATGTCAACGAATTTTGAAAAATATCATTGCCAAAAAATGATTGATTGCAAGCAAGGAGCAGTGCGTGCAGTACGTTATAACAGTAAGTAAAATTAAAATAAAAAAAAAAGAAAAAAAATTTAATTCAGCCTTAAATCAACAGTTGACGGCTTTTACTGCTTGAGTTGCGGTTCGGACAAAAAAGTCAAATTGTGGAATCCAGAGACAGGCTTATTACTTAAAACATATGGTGGACATGCAGATGAAGTGACGGATGCCAGAGGTAGTTGTGATAGCAGCTATATCGTATCATCCAGCCTCGACAAGAGCGTAATCTATTGGGATGTCACAACAGGTCGACCGGTGCGACGCCTGCATGGACACGCAGGTGGCGTACGTTGCGTGCGTTTTAATGAAAATTCATCAATTGTTGTGTCGGGTGGTCGTGATAATGCAATAATGTGTTGGGATATACGTTCTAGACGTTATCAACCGGTTCAAACAATGAAGGAAGCGCGCGATTCCATTACATCTCTTCTGGTAATAGAGCATAAAATTATTGCATCTTCGTTAGATGGGTGTATACGTCATTATGATTTACGCGCTGGTGAGTTAATCTGTGATAAAGTATCAGAATCGATAACATGCATTGCATTGAGCCGTGATGAAATGTGTTTGGTAACAGCGTGCCAGGATAGTGTAGTGCGTTTGCTTGATTGTGATGATGGTGGTGTGTTAAATGAATATAAAGGTCATAATGCATCTGATTATCATATTGAATGCGGAATTATGCCAAATGACAAACAAATATTATGTGGTTCCGATAATGGAGAAGTGTTTTTATGGGATTTACTAACAGGAAAAGTTTTGCAACGCATACGCATAAGTAATACTTTTATTATATTACATAAAAATTCTTCTATTTCATTTTGTTTCTGCAATTCTATTTTAGGTAGCAATGGCGGTATTATAAATTCGCTTGATACACATCCGTCGGCTGAACAAATAGTCTTTGCAAGACGTCGTGACATTTACGTATATTCAACAACTCCAATTACGGAACAAGATTGCTAAGAACAAGAAGCTATCATTAAACCAAAGAGAGACTGTAACTGAATTTTAAATTCATATTCAATGGGTAATTGCTTGGACACTCTTCACTATACATATATATCCCTACCAAAAAAGTTTACATAACAGATTCATATTTACTATTAATGCATATAACGTAGTTATACGTTAGAGTACACACTGGAGACTTCACGAAACATATATATGCGTATCATAAAAGCATACTTGTACGATTTATATTTGCTATTAATGCATATTCTCGTTATATCTTCGTTAAATGCTGAGCGTTTGAAATGTACACTAAAGACTTCACTAGACATATATTTCCGTATCAAAAAAAAAACATACTAGTAAGTATTTATATATTGGTATAAACAAGTTACTAAGGCTTTGGCACCTTATATTAATTAAGTAAAAAAACAAATGCAGAGAAAAACCAAAGTTCATTAAAAAGAGAAACATCTTCAATAAGATAAAATTAAAATTGACACTACACACAAAGAGCTCCAATGCTCCTCCATATGAAGGTTGACTATTCAATGACTGAATGACTGAAAATGGCGAATATCAGGAAGAAAATTAAAATTTACATTGCAAAGCACTCCAAGTTTAAGTTGTGGTTTTGTAAATATTAGTACAAATAACAACAGACTAATGTATTGTTTATTAATAAAAATTATAAAAATTATCTGTTTTAAATGATTGCATTCCTATAAGGTTTAATAATATGTTAAATTATTTAGATAACATCTCTAATTTGTAACCATAAAGATTTGATTTGTATAAACAGATTGTAAAATAGATTAATATATTATATAAGAATATTTTATTTATAGAATAGATAATAACAATTAATTTATTCATCAAACATTTGTCAAAAATATTTTTACAATGAGAATGTAAAAAACAGAATTATGTCTGGTTTAAGATACTTTAGTGTCATGTCGGTCCTATGTAAAGTTTAGGTTTTATCAATGACTCATTATAAAATAAAATCTTTATATATAGCATAATTATGAATATTGTAAATAATTGTTAAAATAAAAAAGTGTTAATAAATTTCATAATAAATTATTTAATCAATATTTGATAATATTTTTAAAAGGAAGCACTACTGGACACATTTTCAATTAACAAAAGAAAGTCTATGCGAAAAATATTAAATATTGAGTATGTCAAGTTATTAAGAACATAAAGTTAATAAATATATAATTAATTTTTAATCCATTTTTTTTTATTATATGTAAATGAAAAAAAAAAAACAATTGGACCATCTGGCTTAAGAAGACGATGTAGTCACATTAGCGCTTGAGAGATAATGAGATACATGAGATGATATTGGGTAGTACGAATAGTTTGAACCTTAAGATCCTAAAGTTGTAGTGAGCAGAAGTGATAGTTTCCCACCGTGTATATTTTAAGAAAGAGACAACGATAGATAGAATTCTAGAGTTATTGGTTTAACTGAAAGCGGCGTTGAGTACGTGCGTGTGATTTACAAAAACTAAAATACACATTAATATTATTATTCTAAAAATGAAAAGGTATCACAAAAAAAAAAAATTCTAAAAGAATTTTGAACACTTACTAAAAAAATCAATGGAAAAGACCCAAAGTATTTTAAGTGCTATACCGTAGAGAATAAGAGCGAAAAAAAAACTCAAGTGAGTACACCGTTATCTATCTGTTCAGGCAATTAGACAGACGACAGACGAACAGTTCGGAGCACCTTTCCTAGCTCTAACTTAAATGATAGGATACTTATTATAGACAGGATATTATTCTGAATAGAAAAAGATTATAATTACTGCAGTTAAATGTATAAATTGTGGCTGTGGAAGACACACACCGTCTAAAGATATACGAAGAAACAGGATAGGTCATCAGGATAGGTGTCAATTATTTTTATTTCAGTAAGGTGCACATTTTAATTTCTGCATAGCAAGCGAACTAAATACATTCTAAAGCATAAATATACTGAAAAATCGTTATTAAATACTTTAAGCTTTAATAATTCTCTAGATGAAGTTATAATGGTGTTCCAAACGATTCAATTAGTCCCAAAATTTATATAATAAAAGATATAGCTGAGTAAAAATTTAAGTGTAATAAAAATAAATCCTTCTTACTCAACTTCGGAAAATTTTGAGCTCCCTTTATACTGAACACAGGTTATTTTCATATAATTTTATATAATTTTCATTATATTATTTGTAACGCAAAGTCTCGTTGTTCTCTAATACTTTCAAGACTATTTTTATCTGGCTATAGATTTTTGCTGATTTCTGTCATTATAAAGAAATCAACTACTGCTGTCTTTGGAAATTGTATTATCGGTCTGTAGAGTATGTTAAGCTGTAGATTTACATACTATCTAGTCGATAGCCGATAGTCACCCACAGAGGGCAGTGCCACCAATCGCTCTCCGTTGTTCTTATTCAATACATCCGGAAAAGACGTCTTAAACTTTATAAATAAACATATGGAAGAAGAACGGACTATGGAATGGTCAGTGTACAACCATCGCTACAAGTCGAAGTCCATTGACCTCTTTTTTTTATTAATGCTATTAGCCAGATTAATAACCATTTCCTTGCGGTTAAGTAATTTAAAATTTACTATAACACCCTGGTCAAGGGGCTGCAGCTTGAAAGTGGTATTTACTGGCAAAAAATTAATTTTTACGTGGCTGAGATTAGGGGACCCATTATTGTCCATAACATAACAGTTATCATTCAGCATCAAAAGCCATTCGTTAAGAGCTCCATAATCATCCACGTCTTCACATTGTGTCGGTAAAGTATTGGAAAGCTATGAATATTCTTGAAGCATCTTGAATTTGCAGGTAAGTTTTTTGTTCTGAATTAAGAATTATAAGAGGTTTATTCTTCATTTAATTTCAAATAAAATACGAATTAACGAGGGAACCAAAATGTATGGAAATTTTACAAATCAACAACGTTTTTTCAAGGGACCAGCAGTTTGTTACGCGTTATTGAGGTTTTCGATTTATCGGGTTACAAATTATCGCGATTCGACTGTATAATGAAATAAAATAAATATATATATAATTTTTTTTAAAAATAAAAATAAAATTTTTTCTGAAGCTGACACTTTTAACTTTGTTCCTTTCTTTGCTATTTCAGCTATATACCGGTTTAAAAATTCTTCTTTCTATATACTATACAATACATAAAGTCTATTAAGTTCAATAAATACTTTATTAAAATTATGAATCTCAAGACTATTATATAATCCATATAAACATTATATATAAAAATTTATAAAATATTAATTAACCAACCAATATGTTCCTTTCTAAACTATAAACGGTATGCACCTTATAGGCTTTATTATAAACAAATATTTAAAAAGAACTTCAAAGTTGTTAAACATTATTACTTTTAAAAATGTATAGGTCTAATCGGTTTTTTTTTTTTCAATTAAAAATTGATTAAATAAGTATAAGATTACATGGATACATCCTTAAGAACGCTGTCACTGACATTGAAAAGAGATTCCTCATCAAATTTTTGGTCTTGCAGCATTATGCGATCTTTTAAATTTGCCAAGTTTTGATTATTTTCGGACTGTTCGCATGAACTGGTCCCGACAAACTATTAGAAATAAAACATAATCCTTTTTATATATTTAAACATATAGATTATAGAGTTACGAAACACACCTCTTTTACAGATGTTTCCAAATCAATCAATAATTCATCACCAAGTGGCTTTCTTTCTATATAATTTCCAGACTGCTTGTGTGAGTATGTGCCAGCAATCTGTGAAATATATAATATCAATAATATATATTAACAAAAGATTCAAAGAAATGTATAATACAAAATGAAGGAATAAATGTACCTCTTTTATAGATGTTTCCATATCCATTAATAATTTATTTTCAATAGACGTTTTTTGTATATTCTGCATACGATCAAGATCAACTGATAAATTTGCTGAGTTTCTATGGTTTTCAGACTTTTCATCCCCATTTGTTTCAATAAGCTGTTAAAAATAAAAAATAAATCTTTAATCAATATAAGATTCATAACTATATAACAGAATTAAAGTAAGTACCACTTTTGTCGACGTCTCTTTATGGATTGGTGATTCATTATGACTTGAATTTTTTTGTATATCATCCATGTGATCAGCTCTTATGAGTGCCTCTAAGCGTCCTGAAGGGCTGGTGCTCATATTTTGGAAATTAATTGAAGCATCCTGCACTTTCTTTACAGCAGAAAGTTTTTTGATGTAAGGAAGACTGGAATTACCACTGCTGTTTTCCAATGCCGTATTATATGGTATACGAGTGCGATCATTAAGTGGAGTGTGTGGTGAATGCGGCGGTAGAAGTGTTGAACTTGGCGAATTATACACAATTGTTTGACTGGAATAGTTCTGATCGATTTGGAGTTTTATTTTGTTTGGAATTTTTAAGTTAGTCGAATCTAGTTCTGTAGAGGAAATTGCCTGACGTTCCTTCCAACTTGTGCCAAGCTGTGACAAATTTTGTTTTATTGTTTTATTTGCTTCTGGAACCTTATGTATGGAACGCAACAATGCCATTGGATCAAAAATTTTACACTTATTCACAGTACTGTTCAGATTACTGGATTTATTTAGATTTTTCGATGCACATAGTATAGCACTCTGATTTGCTGTGATTAAAAATAATTTATCATTATTACTTTAGTTTAGGTAAAATATAGCTTAAATACGCTTTGTTCTACATAACACACAAAAGATCAATGTTAATTCCAAATATAAGAATACCATAGAGATACAAATCCCTCGTCCAATATGAAGATAAATACAAATAAAAAAATCAAGTTTCATTAGCATGAAGGATTCGTAATAATCATCTATACTTTGCATCTCAACAAATACATCTGATACTATTGAATGCTATATTTATATCTGCTATATAGTGTATAGCTAAAAATAATCCAGTTAAAATTTGAGTAATTAAACAGGAGGCTACTATATTCACATAAGCTTAACCGCTGAAAAAAATTGCGAGAGTTCGACCATTGTTATATGTTAGTTTTAATCTTAGTGATGAGTTAAGAATAAATAAATCCAAGTTCAATAATTAAAATGCGCGAATCTACTGTGTAACGTTCAAGTAACACTGTACACTATTAACAGATGCCTCAAAGAGTAGGGTTAGTCAATTAGCTGAAGTGGAAAGAGGAATGAATGCCTTCTCAATCAGCTAAGAAAACTGTTTTAAAAATTTACAATTCTTTGTAAGAGTGGATAGAAGAAGGTGGAACTAGAACCAGCCAGAGTGTTTTAAAGAAGGAGGTCCCCACAAAACCTAAGCGTAGTTTTGATCAGGCCTGAACATTGACACAACAGCTGTTCTGGTGTTCTCTCTTCGAAAGTTGATAGACAAGCATTGCAGGAGATATCACAGGGTAGGCCGAGTCTAGTTTCATGCCGTCCTATTGTCTAGTGACTTGTAAAGACAGATATTAACCTAAGTACCTTTGATTTGCTACTGTATATCAAATCAGAAATTTTGCATTTGGAATAGATTGGCCATATACCTCTTGACTTGACTGCTGAGGTAGTATAGGCCCACTCACTATTAACCTATAGCAAAAAAATTGTCATAAATCAACCTCCGACTTTAGCTGGCAGAGACAGGAATTGAAAAAGGAGGAGTATCCGTAGAAGAGGCGTCCAGTCTAGCAAGTTCATGTGGGCTCTGATTTTCTATTATATTATCATGCCCTGTAACCCAAATTAGAATTACCTTGGACCTCTCACTTAGTGCGTTAATAAATTCTCTAAATTCTTGCACTAATTTGAATGAAATACAAACCGCTGATAAAGCTTTAGTAGCTGCCTGATTGTCAGTAAGAATATAGACTTCCTTTCGTTGAAAATCCATGTTTAAAGTAAGAGCACATACTCTAAGAATAGCGAAAATTTCTACCTGAAATATTGAGCTAGAATTGGAAAGATGTTAGGATTTACTACTTCTTAAATCCGTGGAAAAGATCTCGGCTTCAATGCTTTTGTTCATCTTAGACCCGTCAGTATAGATTGCAATCTTTTCTAGCGCTGTAAGTTTCTCGCCTTATATTCCTTCTTGGAGAAATTATGGTGGTAAGTTATTGTTGAAGTGTAAGCGATAACATAGATATTCCGATTCACAAGAGTAGTGTTAAAACTACAACAATAATAATACTACAATAATAACTAAATAGGTTATTTTTTGCTATACTATATAAAGTACTAGATTCCTTCACTAACGGTTTTTTGTAAATATTATATTTTGTTTTATAATTGTAATATTGATCGATTATTATAGAAAATGATCTCTTACCAATTGTGGATACAGATTTTGGTTTGATATCTCCCAATAGTGGTAAACGTGTCGAAGGTGCGTTGTCTGTGATATTCAATTTGATTGGAGGTGTTGATATGATTTTCGATAACAGAGAATTTTCAAGAACTGGAACGGCTGATTTCATATCGCCTCTCATAGGAGTTTGAAACTCACTCTTTGTATCAGTATTCACTTTTTTTTTATTTTCAATAATCATTTTATGGAAGTCCGTTATTTTGCACTCCACATCCTCGAATTCTGTTTGAATGCTATGCAATTCTTCTTTGACAAAATCCGAAATATTTGGATTTTCTGTGCATTTGTTTAGAGCAATATCCAAAGGTTTAAAAATAGTATTTACTGTGAAAATCATATCTTCTATATTTACTTCGTCCATATTTAAGCTGATGGAAGAAACTGAATGAAATACTGTAAGTTTTACTTCAATTATCATTTAAATAAGAGTAATCATAACTATACTTTGTCATACCTTCTGTTGGCTCCATAATATTTGATAACTTTTGCTCACTCTTCTCAGACGACATACGCGATAATTCTTTTTTGTAATTGGACTCCAACTCCATGGTTTCAAAATTATTTAAGACATTTCTTAGCTCAAGCATAGGAGCATTTAATAGCGCAATGTTATTGACGCGCTTGGCAGTTTTCTCTTCATAGAGTTTACGATTTTCCATTTTAAATTTATTGTAAAAATCATCGCTCAATAAATCATTTGTATCAATGCCACTCACATCAGATATGTGCTCAAATTGTGCTTTTATGTATTTTATTCTTTCTTGTAGTTTTTCAGTTATAGTATCGAGTTCAGATATATATTGAGAGGCATAGCTCTTAAAAAAGGCATTCTTGCGAACTAATAAGTCAACATCAACTTCTTGCGTGAACTTCGGATCAATGGTAACGCTGGTAGTTTGCTTTTCCCGTTGCTTCGTTAACTGTTGTATCACAAAACTAACGAAGTCCAGCATAAATGTTATAAACTTCATACCACCTAGTGATAGTGATAAACATAATCATAATAATAATATAAAACAGAAAAAGAAACAGAAACACCAAATGATAGAACCAGCAACTCACCTGGGAGAACTACAAGATACGACTTTATATTTTGCCAATTCAAGTTATACTTCTCATTTATGTGTTTGAGATATTCGACGGTAGTTGAGCGGAAGGCGGCCTCACTGCGTTTGTCTACTACGGGCCAATAGAAACGTCTTTGAAATTCGTGCGGATCTAGAATGTTGAACAAATAGTGCATTGTATGCAAAAACCCATTTTGATTGGGTTTAATAAACATGTAATCCGACAAGCATTTCCTAAAGTCTTCCGATGGCGGATATAAAAGTGTTAAACCTAATAGTTTGTGATGAAGTTTTACACACAAATCCTTTTCCTCTGCTTTCCAATCCTCTATGACCCGTTCCATATTTGTATTATCTACTACAAACAGTCCAATATAAACTTTCTCAACTGTTTTGGCGCTTTACAGCTTCAAAACGAACACAAAACGTACAAAAAAGAATTAAAAATATTTTATATTCGAAAATATCAGTTTCGGCATTCACAATTGATTTATTGACAATAGTCACAACTTCAGACTATTGTGAATTCATTTAACATAGTCACCAAAGAACACCTGAAAAGATCAAACGTTTTATGCAGATTTAAAAACCTGCTAACAATAGACCTATACTTTTATAAGAATAGTTATAATTTTTTATTTCAGATATCACAAAATTACAAAAGCAAACAAAACTTAACAGTTTTGCTTAAGTATTGCCCAGCGAACAGTAAAAAAAGTAGTTTCATTCACAATAGAGTCTTGAATATCTTGAATATTGTTTTGTAAATCAAGTGCAGAATCATAAGAAAGAAAATTGTTTTTGTAAAATTAAATAATTTTGCAAATGCAACGATGCACAGACATCCTAAATATCCCTATTGCAAAATTGCAGTCATTCCTTAAAATCATATGGGCATTCATTTTCTAATAAATTCAAATAAATCAATAATAAATAAATTTTAATATATAAAATAAAAATTGCCCTTCTAATATTCGTTTTGTTTTCTTTTATTTAAATTAATTGACTTTTGTTTTTACAATTATTATATTTTATATTGTACACAACACAACAAAAAACATATGTCAAAATAAGCATTTAACATATTTTAAAAGTGATGCCAAGTTGTTTCAACCAGCCTTAATGCTGTTTTTTACAACTCGTAAAGAAAAAATTACGACTATTATCGCTAAGAAAAAATAGTTTTTATTTAACTCAGATATAGACTTAAACTGTTTCTATATATTTCTATAGTTTTTTCAATTAAATTATTTTATCCATTAACCTACAAATGTATTTTTATGAATACATGGGAGTGTGAATTTTAACCGAAATTGTTATATATTTGTTAAATAGAATAAATATAATATAAGTTTATATAAAATTGTGTAAAGTGAGATAATATAAGTTTAACAATCGAGTATTCGAGTATTATTCATATGCAACTATAATATGGATATATTTATAATCAACTAGCTATAGATTTATAGATTTCTTTCTCAAAATACAAGTTGAACATAACTTCAGGAAGAATTGCACTAATGAAACTACTTTTGTGATATCCTTTTTCTTTTCTCTAGTACAATATTTAACCCAATATTAAGTCTATATTTTTAAACGACCTCAACAAATGAGAAATTCTTTGCTGCAACATTGACCAGATATTTACAATGCGACAAATCCTGGAAAAAGCCCACGAACATAACATCGACACTCACCACCACTTTGTCGATTATAAAGCAGGTTTCGTTAGCCTCATAAGGGATCACGTTTACAAGTGTTCAAGAGAAAAGTTGTTTGTAAAATCTCTGATCCTCTACGAGTTGGCGACAACTACCGCATACGAATGAACCACGAGCTGTACGAGCTTTATCACGACATTAATATAATTCAGCGAATTAACATCCAGCGCCTTCGCTAGTTTAGTCATGTCGCGAGAATGGTTGAAGATGCTTTAGCGAAAAAGGTGTTTGAAGTAGTGGTAGACTCAAGCAGGAGAAAGAAGGCGTAGCGGTAGACCGTGTTTCCGGTGGAGTGATCAAGTTAAAGGAGCACTAACGACACTGGAGAAGGCGCGCACGCAGCAGATCCGCCTTGGGAGACATGCTACGTCAGACCGAAACTTGATAAGGGGTTGTAATGGGCAAATAAGTAAATTTTTGCTTCACATGTTTTCTTTGTGAGTATTTTTTTGCTACGTTGAAACAAAAAAATTACGGCTAATATAATAGATCTAATAATTTGAAATGTACTATAACTCTTCACATAAAAGTATTATAATATGAAAACAAGAAATACAATTCTCTATATATTGATTTTTCCTATTTTTCTATATCTATAAAGTATTCGTTGTACTAATTTGAGATCCCAAGATATAATTAGAGATTGATTAGAGATTGTGTGATATACATATCAACTGCAAGACCTACCGTTCAACAGCATTAGAAGCTTTGCCAAAGGTTTTAGGTGGTTTTAAAACTCTTGGATCAAGTTGGACATAAACTAACATACATGTCTATTACTTCAACTCCTATTCGAAGCGTTGGACGTTACATTACTGTATTATATATAGTCACGCAAACGTTATATTGTAATACTATGACGTAATGAACTAATCGTTTCCCTTAGATTTCTGTACTATATCAAGTACATCCAATAAAAATCAAATGTACAGTTTATTCCTTGTGACTTAACTTCAAAAACGTTACTTTGAAGTATTTATATTCAATTATATTCTTTGTTATATAAATTAAAAAACAATCCATTGATTTATTTCGTCCATTTTCTTACTCCTTTAAAAGTAATAACTTTCTTTATTTTGAATTGATTGTCCAATCACCGAATATATACATATTTATATAAATGAAACTCTTCAAAGTTCTGGAATATAGTATATTCTGAGTCACTTAAACTTAAAACACATCATCTGCCAGCTGTTTTCCAATTACCTAGATTTTTTCAGTAAACTATACTTAAAAGCAGCTGTTTCAGTACTAACCAAACCAGTCAGTCCACATTGCATTATCAGTTCTTAGACCAATAAGAACAAACATGTGTTTCATGAAGATATAAAGTAATAATTCTTTGAATTCCTGACAGAAGGTTCTATAAAAATCGTACCACTGGCATCTATAAGTTGTCTGGCCATATGTTTTTGTATTAGACATCTATTTAATCGTTTTCTATGGAAAGCACATATTTTTCATTTGTATGGAAGTGTCATATGGTTGTCCATTTTCATGTTCGAAATAATATGGATTGCAATGTCTGTCTGTCCTTGAAAAAGGCTGGTACACAAGCTTAACTCAACGATTATAACTTTCTGTTAGTACTAATATTTGAACTTCTGTCATTGTTTATATTAGACACTACTTATATACGAAGACACACGAGAACGTAAAAAGAAAAGAATAAAAAATAAATTTCTTATATTGACAGTGTAGAGATATCCTTTTTATTATAAACAATTTCTAGGGATTATTTAATTATTATTATTATTCCAAACTCTTTAAGAAGCATAAGGTATCTACATAGTTTTTCCAGTAGTTTCTGTTCGCAGCTACAGTTCGTAGTTCGCTAAACGATTCACCAGTTTCAGTCCACTTCCGGGTTGTTGATGGCCTACACCTGCGTCTGACACCTTGTGGATTCCAGGTCAGAGCGGCGTGTGGTATTTCGTTGTATTCTTTATGCAACGTATGTCCTAGCTAGCCGTATTTGCGTATTTTTCACTTTTAAGTTGATGTTTCTTTGATTAGTAGCTATTCACAGTTCTTCACTAGAGACGGTTCTCGCCCACCAGATGCTTAGAATGTTGCGAAAGTAGCGGTTTGTATATTTAATAGGTTGAAGTTAATAAATGCAATGAAATTTAATAATTTAATGAAGATTTTAATAAATTTAAAAATAATTTTAAAGATATTTTATATTTAAAATTAACCGGTTTCTTCTCACTGGTTCTTCTTAGCCTTCTTGATCTCAAAATATGCCTGAAAACACCCCGACTTGCTGTAATTAAACATAAAAAAAAAACAGAAAAGAAGTCATAAGAGTGGTAGACTGGAAAGTCGATTAGTGAACTTTAAAACTTTTCTTTGCCCTCACAGTGCCTTAGCTGAATACGTCTTATATGAGGGCGGGTTATCACATTGAAATCCATCATATATGGTACACTGGCATAGTGAACCAAGATTAAGACAATTTATTTTTCTAATTCAGTTCTATATTACTTAACGCCATATACGATTTATTAAGAATTAATAAAGAATTCTGTGTTGGTTACTCACCAGCCATTGCTAACAGAAAAAGCCTTATCCAGAAAAAAATAAATTTGTTTATGTGAATGAGTATAGCTAGGTTAGTTTCCGTTGTAGTGACGGCCTTGTGTCCAAAGCCCACTTAAGCTCAAAAATGTATAACTACAAAGAATAAGCGTTGTTCATACGCAGACCTAAAAGACTTCCAAAAGAACCGTAACGGTCATTTAAATAAAAGTGAACTACCTTGACAAGTCGATAAACTTGGCTAAGTTCCTAATTTTGCAGGATGACAGCTCTGTCAATCTGTTAAGAAAAGATGCACACTGACACATGAGATGGAGTACAGTTTTATCTTCATCTGCAGAGTTACAACCACTATAAAAGTCGTTATAGAATAGACCCAGTCTTATACGATGTCTTCTTAGTAAGCAGTAACATGTCAGCACCAAAAGCGTTATGCTGAGCAAGTTATGCCTTAGTTAAAATAACTGTATAGCTTATGCCTTAGTTAAAATAGAATCACTATAATAAAAAACGTTTTAGCTTATAACTTATAGGAAACTTAACTTCTAATCTTAAGATCTACTCTCTTTACCATGTCTCACTTGTTAACATACTTCACCACACTGTTATCTTTTAAAGTATATTTTTACTACTATAACTAATTTTATTCATCATTATCATTGACCAGATATACTCTACCGCTTTCATTTATTCCGATTATGATTTGGAGTTCTTCAATTTAATTTGCTCAGCTCTTTTGCGTTCTGGTCAACCTTATATGTCTAGCTTAGTTTTGGACATCTCTATTTTAGTGTGTAGGATACATTGTCACAGAAATAATCCGTTTTGATTTCCGTTTAGATTTGATTCACAGAAATAATCTCAATTTATTTTAATTTACTTAATTTAAATGATTTGAATGACTTGGGGTTTTATTGAGATATCGCCAATTATCTTCATCACCAGAATGTGTCTTTTTTTATATACTATATAGTTATATGATATACCAGATGTATATAGATAAAAACCATATTTATTAACAGAAGTCACTATTTTTTTTATTCATACCAACACTTTATGTATAATAAATATCCATATTTGTATAAAACTGCTTTTTTTAGTTTATAGACATACTACTTTAGTAACTAACGACCCATATTTAATATATAGTAAACTGTTATCTCTTAATAATTGCAATTTATTTCATAGATAATCATGTTTTTAATAAAATATCGTTTAAGTAAATAAACCGATCTGTCTGGGT